CCTGGCTTCTGAGCGGCCGCGACCGCCCAGAGTATGTTCTGGATCCGGTCTTATTCTCTCACGACGGCTGGGAGTGGGAAGTGGGCGCCGCTGGCTGGTGCGCCCCATCGCCGCTGCCTGGCGCCGCCCGTCCTGCCCCTGCCCGCCGCCGCCGACACTTTGGCCTGGGCTCCTGCTGGCCGTCTTTAAGGCCGCATTGCAGCGCTGTCTGGCTGTGTGCCATACCGCAGTGGGGTGCACAGCGGTGGCCTGCAAGTCTTTCATGTACCGCCCCCACCGCAAGTGTGGCCTGCCGTCTCCCACCGCCAGCTCGTCGCCAACCGCCCTTCAAACCGTCAGCTGAGGCACCTCCCCCCGGCCTGCCGTGCCTGCAGTTTGCTGACGCTGCTGGTCGTCGCGCGCTTCACCTTCAATGCGCTGCTGCGGAGGCCCACCCAGCGGCTGGCGGAGAGGCGGGGCACCGATGCCCACCACCGCGACGGCAGCCGCCTGCTTGAGGAGGTGTGGGTCACGGCTGGCAACCTGGTGATGCTGGGGATGTCGATGCACGTCTTGCTGCGCAAGTGAGTGGGGAGCGGGCTGGGGCAGGCGTGGGGTTGTTGTTCCGTGCAACGCCAGCAGGCCTGCAGCGCCGCCTGCTGCCTGCGGCAGCCGATGCCTCTCCCCAACCACCACACCTCGCCTGCACACCTTCCTGCCCAGGAACGGCGGCTGCTGGTTCCTCAACACCTCCACCTGCCTGGTGGGGTGGCCCAACCTGCCCACCGAGCCCGAGGTACGACGGTACTATCAGCTGGAGCTGGCATGGTACCTGCACATGCTGCTCAAGCCGGTGCTGCGGTACGGCCTGCCAGACGGGCGCGACATGCTCATCCACCACGCCGCCTCCCTCACCCTCATCGTCATCTCTTACGGTGCGTGGGGCGGCGGCGGGGCGGGCCGCCGCGCAGGGCATGGGGGCGTAGGGCAGCTGCGTAGGCCTGCCTCCCACCAACGCGCCGCCGCTCGCGGGCCTCCCTCTGTGATCGACGCCTGGCTGTGCAGCCTGCCCACCCACCCGCCCCTGCCCGCCCGCCCGCCCCCGCACCCCGCAGTCACCAACCTGACGCGGCTCGGCACCGTGGTGCTGGGCACTTTTGCCATGAGCAACCCGCTGCTGCACCTGGCCAAGATCTGCAACCAGCTGAGCCTGGGGCCCCTGAAGATCGGCGGCTTCATGATCTTCGCCCTCATCTTCTTCCTCTCCCGCATCCTGCTGGTGCCCTGGGCGGTGCTCAAGGTCACCTGGCTGGACTGCAGGTGAGGCGCTTGGGAGGGGAGCCCCCGCAGCAGCCGGGGCGCTGCCTGCTGCTGCTGGCTGGTGCTGTGGCAGGTGGAGGGCCAAGTGCTGCTTGCTGCGCCATAGACACTGACCCGGCCTTCTTCAGCCAGGGCAGGCATGGCTCCCGTCGCTGCAGCGCGCTGCCGTGGTCGGGGCTGTGTTGAGGCCCCCCCTACCTGCCTGTTTAAGTGCCTGCCTGCCTGCCTGCCTCCCCCCCGTGCAGGCACGAGGTGCCATATGCTGTGGAGGACTTTTGGGCCATCCACCTCGTGTACAGCCTGCTGCTCACCCTGCTGTACGCCATGCAGCTGCTGTGGATGCGCGGCATCCTGCGCGTGCTCAGGTGCAGGCAGGCTTCGGGAGGAGGAGGGGGAGGGGGAGGCAAAGGAGGAGGAGGAGGCCCCCCCGGCGTGGCGGCCGGGGCGTGGTGCGGCGTCACGCGGCTGGCTGGAGCCCGGCTGCGAGCCTATCCCCGCCTGACCTCTGCCGCCGGTGTGCGCCGCGCGCCTGCAGGAGCGCCCTGCAGCACGGCAGCGACGCGGCGTCGCACATGAGCGCCCGCATCGACCCCGCCAAGCGTTACAAGGTGGGGGCAGACCCCGGGGCGCCGCCGGTACGTGGCGCAGCTGCCGCGCAGCACGGCGGCAGCAATGGAGCAGCCAACGGGGCGCTTCCCAGGACGCCTTCGCCGCCAGATCCGCCCACGCTGCCCAAGGGCAGCAACGGCGGCGAGGGCGCTACCGGGCGCAAGAACAGATGAGCACGGCGGTTGACGCGCCCTCCGATTCTTTGCTCTCTCTGTCAGCCCCCACACTTGAGCACTGCCATCGCCATTCACGTAACCCTTTGTTCTGCCCTGGTTGAGTGAATGGTACCCCTCCTTTTGCAACTGGCCTGGCTTAACCCTCCCTTTCTCATTGCATAATTTCAGCTGCCACAATGTCAAAAATTCAGCACACTTGGCGTGAGGGCGCAGTTCTGAGCTGAGCGATGAATGGTGAATGAATGAATCGAGGCAGGAAAGAATAGGGGTGGCAACTCCAAGGATGCGTGGTGGGCCAGCTGGTGGCGCGCTGTGCAGGGGAGCTGGGGCCCACAGCCCACACAGCTCAGGGGATCATGGGTTCAGGGTCGTAGCCGGCCTGGATGGCAAAGATGAGGACCACCGCGATGTTGAAGCCCACCATGGTCGTCCAGAAGATGCTGCATGGGCGGCGGGCCGGCAGGGGCACGCGTCAAGGGCAGCGTGTGCGGCGGACGGCGCAGCGGAGCGGCGCCGAGCCCGGGCTGTGCAGCACGCTGTGCAGCACTTGAGACCCGCCGTCTCGCCCGAAGGAAAGACGCAGCCGGCCGGAGTTCTAAGTGCAGCACGCAAGCCGCAGGGCTCCTGGCCCCACCCGCGGTCGATCCTCAGCGCGCAGTACATGGCATAGTCCTGGCTGCGCCGCATCTCCTCCTTCATTAGCTTGAGCTTGATCCACTGCAGCCTGAGCCAGCCAGGCTTCTTGGGCGGGGAGCTGGCGCCGGCGCCTGCCGCGCCGGCTGCCTTGCCGCCACCCGCCCCTCCCCGCCACCCGCAGCACGCCCGGCGCAGCCAGCCCGGCGGCTGCAGCAGGCCGCCGCCGTCTTCCACGTCCACCGCCGCCGGCTGCCCTTCCTCCTCCGGCACCCTCAGGCCGCTGCCGCGTGGGCTGCCGCTGGCAAAGGTGCCGTGGCTGCCCGCGTCACTGTCCTGGCCGCCGCCGCTGCTGCCGCTGCTAACCGCATACACGCCCATGCCTGCAGGCCAGGAGCGGCAGGCGAGGTAGCCGATCAGTGCGGCACTGGCGTGCAGCTCCTGCCCAGGGACATTTGGGCTGCAGGCAGCGCAGAGCGTGCACCCAATGTGACTGCCGCAGCGCACCTCCCGTGCGAGCGCCATCAGCAGACGAGTGTGTTGCCACCAGCTGTGGCGCGCCGACCGCCTCCACCGCCACGGGCTGCCCAGACGCAAAGGGTGAGACGTGGATGGCGGACGGCGCTGCCCCGGCAGGCTGCTCGCCGGTGGCGGCCACGTGTGCCGACGCTGCTGCCGCAAAGCTGACTCGGAGCGCGCTGGGTAGCCGCACCTCCACCTCCTCCTCGTGCTCCTCCTGCTGCTGCTGCTGCTCCTGCTGCTGCTGCCGCGACTTGCGCCGCCTCAAGCCGGCCGAGCTGCCGTTGCCGCTGGCCTCCCGCTGCTGCATCGCGGCCACCGCTGCGGCAGCGATGCCCAGGCTCTGAGACACCGAGGCCCAGCGCCGGGTGAACTGCCGCTTGGCTAGCTTCAGCCGCCGCTGCCGCTCGCTGCTGCGGTGCAGCTGCACCATCCAGAAGGTCAGGATGCTGAACACGCCGATGCCGGCCAGGATGCAGTAGGCCACCTGCGAGGGCAGGCAGCGGGAGCGGCAGCAGCGGCTTGGCCAGGTGGCGCAACCAGGTGACGCCTTCCCCGGCATGTATGCTAGCAAGCAAGGGGTCCGCCCAAGGCTGCAAGCAGGGGCACAGGGCCGGACGGCGGCTCACGATGATGAGTTGCTGCGTGGGCACCACGGTGGCGCTGGAGGGCAGGCCCACAGCGAGCACAAACTGCAGGGCGGTCAGGCTCCTGCGCATGGGAGGGGCATGGGGCATACATTGGCGCGGGAGGGAGCACGCCGAGGTGTCGCCAACCACTCGGAAGACGACCGGCCACACCCGGACAGGCAGCCTGCACCCCAGTTTCGGCATACCGCGGCGCGGCCCGGCCCTCACAGGAACAGCGTCACCACGATGCCCAGCCGCGTGTCCAGGTGGCGGGGGTTGACGGAGAAGACAAGCAGGCTCAGGCAGGTGTTGATGTAGATGGGCATGCTGCGCGGGGTGGCAGCAGGGCGCGCAGCGACGGCAGGGTGGCGCGGCGGTGTGGCAGCACGCAGCCATGGCAGCGAGGGCAGCCGGAGGGAGAGCAGTGACAGGGCGCTCGAGATGTTTTTTCGTGCGCCTGTGCCACCCCCGTCACCCACATTGCGGTGATGACATAATAGAGGGAGATGCGCTCCACCTCGATAAAGATGTCGATCCCGTGCTGCAGCGCGGCAGCGGCGGGATCAGGCCAGCCCAGAGGCCCTCGCCACACGCAGGCAGGCAGCCAGGCAGGCGGGTGGGAGGGCACAACATGCCCGCCAGCCATGCAGCGCCATGTGGTCGGCGGGCGGGCAGAAGGTCGCAGCCGCGCGCCCACCTGCCACAGAAACCCCTCAAACGCTTCTTGGTTGGGGTCGGAGGGGTTGATGGGGTACGGGTCCCCTGGGGCGCTATACGAGCTGCCTGCAAGGCACGCGGCGGCGGCGGCGGCCAGCTGGGGTGTGGCGTGCAGTGGTGGGGGCATCCCGCCCAGGCGCACCGCTGGCTGGTGCAGGAGACAGGCTGGGAATAGATGCGGGGCAGGCAAGCAGGCACGCACAAACACAGGCGCGTGCGCACACACACACGCACACACCGCCTGGGGCCCCACCCAGGCGGCGCCGGCTCACCACCTGAGCGGACCAGGTTCTGGGTTTCCAGGTCGTAGGTGCGCATCGACAGGCCCGTCACCGTCCACCCGCTCAGCTCGTCGCCCGTGGCAGGGGTGTAGAGCTGTGTGCCGCTGGCTGCGGCAACGGGAGAGGCAACAAGGAAACCGGTCGGCGGCTGCCCATTGCCAGGGGTTCCCCACGCCGGGCTGCCGCTTCCCGCTTCGCCTCTCTTTCAGACAGGTATACATGGCTGCCCTCACCGCTGGGGATGATGTTGACCGGGTCCTCGGGGTACTTGTTCCCGTACTGGATCTGGATGTTGAGGTACTGCTTGTCAAAGGGGAAGGCCCGAAACGACATGGGGGTGTAGAACTCGCCCTGCCACAGGCGTGGGGTGGGTGGGGGGGCATGATGGGAGGGGTGGGCACACGTGCGGGGCTCGCTTCCAGCTTGCGCCTGCCAGCAACAGCGCAAGCAACTGGCAGGTCTAGGCTGCTCGGCCAGCAGGCCGGCATTCACACGTGTGCATGCATGCTGGCTGGTGGCTGGCTGGCTCGACCAGGCCTCATGCCCTGCTCCCCTCGCAGTCACCTGGATGTGTTGCCACCAGGCCACCGAGTTGTTCTCGCCCAGCCGCACGCCGTAGCGCACCACGCGGTCCTGGGAGAAGCCCACCACATTGATGAACTCAAAGTGCGGGAGGAAGACAAGGTCGCAGCTGCAGGAGGTTGGGGCAAGGCGGGGCGGGCGGGTGGGCGACTCACAGGGCCAGGGCAGGGCAGGGGCAGGGCAGCCCACGCCCGCCGCGGCGTGTCCCTCTCCCTGCCCCCCTTCCTCGAGGCGGCCCACCTACCAGAGGTTGATGGCGTTGGGGTTCCTGTCCCAGGCGTAGATTGTGGTGCAGGGGTAGGCGCAACCGTCGCCGTTGTTATAGTCCGCCGACTGGGCGGCCTTGGTGGAGGCGTTGACGGCGGCGGCGGCGCGCTCGTCCTGCCACGTCAGCAGCATGTACATCACCGCCTGCGCCCCAGCAGCGGGCCACGCGGGTGAGCAGGCGCGGTGGAGGAGGAGGATCACACACACCTGCCTGTGTGGCCGCAGCACCCGACCGGCTCACCAACCTGGAACTTGTACTTGCTGTCATCCACCTCGATGAGGTGGTCGACAATGGCAGACACGTACACGTCCACGCCGCCCTCGGGCGGCGCATTGCGGCCCTGGAACGGCGTCAGCTGCTGCGCCGCCGCCCCGCCCGCCGCCAGCAGCAGGTACACGGCGGCGCAGCACAAGGCCAAGGTCGCGGGCGCGCGCCCCATTGCCGCCCAGGTAGCCTGTGCTCGCCCCATTGGCGCTCCGTGTGCCCGCCGTCCCAGCCAGAGTTAGGGCATTCGCGCTAGACGTCGCGGCAACCTGGTAGGCACACGCCGATTGCCTCCAGCAGGCTTTCGGGCAGTCTGAACCCTGGAGGACGGGCTGCTCAAGCCCAAAGTTGCGGGCACCGGCCGGCCGAGCAACAAAGACACTTGAATTCACAATGCACAGTGGATGCACAGCGCTGAATGCAGGCCGCAGGTTCACCAGGAGCAGGCAGCACAACACATGTCAGCGGCGGCTGGCGGCGGCAATGACGAGGCAGCCCTCACCGCCGCGTTGGGAAGACCCTTCAGCTCGAGGCCGCCATCCAACCATATCATTGGCCATGCTGCAATGCATGGAACTGCTGTCCACCGGTACATCCGTTTGTGCACAATCCCCCTTCCACAATGCACTGCACATAAGTGCCGCTTGCTGCGTGCCGCTTGCTGCCGTGGGGAAGCATGAAGTCGAGGTATGTCACACAGTGCCAGCGGCAAAACAGAAAATTTAGTGCAGACGATGTCAAATGTATCATGTGGAGCAGGGGGGCGAGTCAGCAAAGGTAGAGCAGGGTCGGGGCAGGTATGGCCAGGGAACCTTGCAAAACTGTCTGGAGAGGGTGCAAATTGGCTAGCAGGAAAAGAATACATGTGCCGCTGCGCCTGTCGAAAATGTAGGGTTGTTGGTACGCAGCGGGTGTGGAGAAGGAGTACAGCTGGGGAGAAGGAGATAGATACGAGGGTGCTCACATGGCCACCGTTACTCGTCGTCCTTGGCAAAGTCGGGGTGCACCAGCTCCGGATGCGTGCCGTCATGTGCCTGCACGCATTGGGGCAGCGGCCCGCAGAAGCATCGTGGGCACCAACTGCTGCCCATCGCCCAACCAAGACAACCAGGCAGCTGGTGGCCATGCCAGGCTGGTTGAATGCCTCCTCCATCCCGCTCCTCCATGGCCCACAACCCACCTGTGACGGGTCCACCACCGCAAGGTTTGCCAGCACGAAGCTAGTGGTGACGGTCTCACGCATCAGAATGGCATTCTCCTCGGACACCTGGCAGCAGGCAGGCGCAGCATAGGAGGGTGTGGATGGCTCGGCCAGGAGGGTGAGGAGGGGCAGCCGCCAACCACCGCGAAAACAGGGGCCTGTGACCTGCCCTTCGCGCTGGTCACAACATCACAGCTCATGCTGCCGTGCAGGCTCCACCAGCCCCTGCCCACCTGCTTCAGCTCCTCTATCCACTCCTTGGCTATCTGGCTCCGGATCTCCATGATGCGCTGCAGGGCAGCAGGGCCAGGAGCACAGGCGGGGTGTGCACGAGCCTTTGTTGGCCAGAACAGCCGCAGCCCTTGACGCCGCAGCCTTGCCCATGCCCTCCTGCGCCCACCTGCGCGATGTTGCGGGGGTCGACTCCCAGCGGCGACGACTTGGAGAACATCTTGTCACGGCCTGCAGCCAGCCAGCCAGCCGAGGATGCAGCACACACACTCTTTCACAACGCGCTGGCATGGATGGGGCAGCCTGGCAACAGCGCGGCCTGGGCATGACGCGGCAGCGCGCGGGGCTGGCCCCCACCATAGAAGTCCCACTGCGTCTGCGCCACTGGCATGCTCAGCAGCTTGCGCAGAAAGTTCTCGCCGCTCACGTCGTCCCAGCTGCCCTCCTGCACAGCGCAGCAGCGCGGGCAGGGCAGGCAGGGTCGAGCGGAGCGGCCTGGACAATGCACAGCACATGGAGGTTGCAGCCCGCATGGCGCTGCCGTGTCGGCAGAGCGCCCTGGACTTCATGCTGGAGCAGTAACGGCCTGCTTGATTGGCGCAATACATCGCGCTCCCCAGGACCGCCGCCCCACCCACCCTGGGGATGGGGTTCTGCTGCATGTAGTACTCCAGCCACTGCATGAGCGTGGGGTTGAGCTCCGTGAAGTAGAACAGCAGCGTCTTGGCGGCACTGCGTGCAGGGAGGGGAGGGGAGGGTGCGCGTCTGGACAAGCTGTTGGACGCCATGAAGGCGTGGTCCAGCTAGCTGTCATGATGGCAGGCTGGCTGGCTCGTGGAGTGGAAACTGGTGCAAGCTGGCATGTTTGAGGCAGCAGGCGGTAGCACAAGAGAGATGGGCATCGTGTCGCAACGCACCGTTCTGTCAGCAGGCCCATCAGCCTGTCGCGGTTGCCATCGCGCAGCGGCGTATCGTTGGGGCTGCAGTGCATGCAAGGGAGAATGCAAAATTGCTTGCGCCGCAGCGCATGCATGCGACCTTGCCTTGGTTGACACCAATATCAAAGCACACACTTGTCATCACACTATCAGAAAGCCAGATGCTGCATCAGTGCAGGCTCACCCGGCGGAGCGTGGCCGGCGGGGCCGTTCACTCTGCCGCTCGCCGGCGCTGCTATAACGGCGCTGTTGCCTGCCGCGCTGCTGCCTGCTGCTAGATCTTCTTCGATTGACTTCATCGCAGCCTCGCCGTGAATGGGCGCTCCCTGGCCCCCACGAGCCGGCAAGCAAACCCCCGCTGGCGGCCCCCCGAGTTGCAGGCCTGCAGAACGCAGCCCCAGAGACGTGCATTTCGGCCCAGCTCGTCGAAGAGTGCAGCGCGCCGCGGATCAGTACGCCCAAGGCGGCCACGGGGTTGTGGTAGGCACCGCCGGCAAGAAAGCGGCGCCCACCAAATTGACTCTGTTTCCGTTGTCTGAAGGGCGCTGCGACGACATGTATCGCGGCATGGGTTGCGATGGGTCCCACAAGCGCAGCAAGGGGGGGACCACCCGAAAGTCCCAAGCTGCCCCGCCACCCGCTGGGGCCACCCGCCGGCGCCCCCCCGCCGCCCCCATGTCCACCTCACCCCCTGAACGGAATGTACCAGCAAGTCCCACTCTTCTGTGCAAGTAAATTCCAGGTGGAATAATAAGTTATACTCGATGAACTTACCTTCCTTCTTGAACCCTGCCGCTGCGATGTGGGAGGAACAACTGGCTTGGCTTTTCACCCTTTGCTGCCTCTGCTCATTGGCTTGACTCCACCTGCACCTGGGCCTTCACCAGGTGGACTGCCTCGGGCCCCCAAGGCTGCACTGTCGGTGCGGGTGTGCGCCTCGGGATGTGGGCCGGCCAGCTCGGCTGCACAGTCACACCCTTAAAGCACCCGGCACTTTCCTCCACAGGTCCCATGCAGCCCCTTCGCGTCGCTGACGTCAGAAAGTATATGAATTCACACTGTTTGGATTGTTACTGCTAACCGGCAGAAGGGGTGGACCAACACAGAGCAATGTGATGGCAGACACACGATAGTGCCAGAGCAGCTGGCGTTCAGGCGCCTGTTACTTGAGCAGAGGAGCAGGGCTGAATGAAAGTAAGTACGCTGGGTGGATGGATAAGGGTGAAATACGTCAAAACATTGTGCTGGAAAATGGGAATAGGGACAGAGCAGCACTGCGCCGTTTGGTACAAAGGAATGCATTCATAGGCGCTCGGTATGCACAAGGGGGCTCCGAGATGAAACAAGGCACCATGGCACAGGGGCCTGGGTGGGTGCGTGTGGGGGTGCAGTGACGGGCAGGTAGAGGCGTGCCTGTGCCACTTACCACCACCGCACCTGACAGAACAAGAACAGATGGAGTGACGGGGCTGGGAATCGTTGAAACTAAGGGTAGGGTGACTGGCTGGCTGGATCCTTGGGCTGTATCACATTAGCTGTCTCGCTCTCTTCTCTCTCGCTGCTCCTACGCTTGCTGACCACTGGTGGCTCTGGGCTGGGCGGCCAGACGACACTCCAGTGGCCCAGCTAGATCAGCTGGCCGGCAGGTTGAGAGCAGTCAGGGTGGCCTCATGCTGCTGCGCCAGCTCCTGGGCCACCGCGGCCGCCATTGCCGCTGCCTCGGCTGCCAGGTCTGCTGACGTCTGCACGGCATGGGCGGCATGCAGTACAGGCGGGAATCAGAGAGAGATGTCTCCGGTGCCAAGGGCAGGGGCAGCAGGGAGCAGAGGCTTGCTGGCAGGAGGAAGAGATGCCGGTGTGGCGGCGTGGGCGCGGCGTGGGCGCACCTGGCGCAGCAGGGTGAAGGCGCTGGTCAGGGCGCTGCCCTGCGGGCTGCACGGCTCCACCTCCACGGGCTCCACCACGATGTCCGACTGGCTTCCAGACTGCATGGCATCCACAGCAGCCACAACGCTGGCTGCCACACTGCCAAGCACGGCTGCCGCGCTGCTTCGTGCCGCAGGCGCGCTTCGGGCGCAGGTGGTGGCGGGGTCGCTTGCAGCTGGCGGCGTGGTGGTGGCAGCGGCCAGCGCCTCAGGGGCTGCACAGAGGACTCCACAATTTCAGCGCGGGGGAGGGAGGGGCTGGAGGCGCCGCCGTTTTCAAGCTCCGGCGGCCCATTCCGGGTGCCTGGCCCACCCGCACCTGCGCACTGCTCCTGCAACAGCTCCAGGCCCCTCTCGATGACATTCGCAGCGGCCAGCTGGAGAAACTTCTCGTCGACCGTCGCCATACTGAGGTTGCTCTGGTGGCAGTGATAACTCGGTGTAGAGCGGCTCGGGAGGCTGGGAAGAGTAGCAGAAATCGAGGGTAATGCAGCAGCGAGGCAATGCATGGTGGACTTGTCGCGCTCCTGTCAGACTCAGACCGTGTGTTTTGCCGGCAGCTGCCACCAGGTGGCGACCCCTCCGCGGAACCGGCAGTGCCATGGTCGACCGTGCGTGTCGAACCAGCCCGCCACGCTCCTGAGGTCCCAGAGGTGCTGCGGGGGTGGATGCGCCCAGCTCCCATGCCCATTGGCATGTCAGTGATGCCAGAAGCAGCGCCAGCAGCAACAGCAGGGGCGCCCACACCTCATCAGGAGCCATTCCCTGTCCTGCTTAGTGAGTGGGCGTTGGCTTTGTGCAACCACCCTGCTCTGCCGTCTCCATCCCAAGCGCCGGCGCCCCTGCCACTGCACCACGCCTGCACCTCGCCGGCCCCTGAAGCATTGGCGCCTTGGTTTTACAGGCGGAAAGTCTGCTCGGCTCGCTCGATGGGCAGGCAAAATCGTGGGACGTCATGAAATAACAACAGAGACCTTGGGCGCTGACATGATGCCCTACAGAGTGTGTGGATCCCCATCGGGAAAACGGGCTTGGCAAGGGGCGGCCGGAAAACTTATGCTAGCAGGCAGCGCAGCAAGGAGCGGCCGCAAACGAGTTGCGCTGTACAAACGGCTCGTGCATTGGGGGCCGACTGAGGCGGCAGCATGTTGGATGAGCATGGGGGCAGGCGCCCAAGGGGAAAGGGCGCGCCGGGCATGCGTCAATCAAAGGGGGGGTGGGTGGGGGGGGGGGGGCAAACTTGCGGAGAAGGATGTGGATTGCAAGGCAAGCAGAGTGGGCAATTAAAATGCTGGTTCCCGCGGCAGGCCTGGAATGTCGTTGGCGCTGCGGAAACATGGGGGCGCGTAGCAAATGCGGAAGATGAAAAGTTCAAAGAAAATGTAGGCATGCGGGGTAGACGAATGGATGCATAAAAGGTACCGAGAGCCGCGCGCATTGCGGCGGCAGCAGAGCAAAGAGAGAGGGAGGGGAACTGGCCTGGCCTGTTGGGCAAAACTACAGAAGGCCTAGCAAGCGCATCAACGGACTGGCTAGGCAAACTAGCAGTGGTAGCATTTTCCTAGTGGGCAGGGAGGGGAAAAGTGATCCTAGCTGTGCAATTATCAATCCAGCAGGGTGTGCGTCAGTTTCGTCGTTTCGCGGCTTCTCGCTGCTGCCTCTGGCTGAGTGACCAGAAAGCCGGCCGCAATCCTACATTATTCGTGTGGGCGGCGGGGTGGGGTGCCGCTGCACAGCGCAGCTGCAGCGGGTGCGCAGCTCAGCTGCAGGCGGGCGCCGGCGTGCCGGCAAGGCCCGCCCGCTTCAACGCGTCTGTCAGCGCACTCTTGCGAGGCGCAGAGCTGGAGGAGGGTGCCGCGGGGCTCGAGGGGGATGCTGGGGAGCCGGGGCACGCATGGCGCTCGCCGGCAAGAGCATCAGTCAATGCGCTGCGTGGGGACGGCTGAGACGCCGTCGTGGTGAAGTCCAAGGCGGCGACCGCCGCGGGGTCCACGCCGGCTCCTGCAGCCCAGACGGCGCGGCGGCGCTTGTGAGAGTGTGCACGACATGCGCCAGGGCCGCCAGAGCCTCGTGGAGCAGCGCAACCGGCTGCCTCATCGAAAACGCGGCTGGCCACGAAACCGATTTGTTTCGGCGGCGGGGCCTCAGGCACCCGGCAAACGCACCTGCTGAAAGCGCCAGCAGTTCCCAGCCTTTTGCGATCACCGCCTCGTAGCGCAGAGTGAGTTCTCGGGCCTGTAGCGGCGCGGCGACCTCCATTCAGCGCTGGGGGGTCCGGCAGAGCACTTGGGGAGAGTTGGCAGCAACTGGGAGGGAAATGTGTGAACCAGGAAGCAAGGAAGAGGGGTGTGGTGTGTGGCTACGTGACGAAGAGTACCAGTGCACTGACAGGAAGGTGACCGATTGGTGGCTTGCAGACAATTTAATTCAATTGCAGGCATGCACTCGTTCGATTGGAAGCGATCGGTACCAGGCCGACAGAGCTCCTGGGCCAAGGCGCCCCCAGCCGCCGCTAGAAGGCGCCGCTGGCTGCCGCCCCAGCTCCCGCCCTCGGTGAAACAAGCCAGCTGGCGTCATTCACAGAAAACAAAACAGAAAATGGTCAATCAAATCAAATTGTCAGGTGCAAGATCATCAATCCATGAAAAAATAGGAAGAAAAATGCGGCGTTGAGTTTTGGGTCCAGCATCAGGGCAGCTCGGCCAGCCAGCCCAGCAGCTCCTTGTTGACCAGCTCGGGGTGGTCGTCGTGCGGGCTATGACCACTGCAGGCAGGCACAGAACCACGGTGCGGCGGTGGGACTCGTGTATGGCAGCTACGGATGGCTCCAAGCCCAAGAATGGCTGCCGACCTGCTACCCATGCAGGCTGGCCATGCACATCAAGCCCTGCCAGCCTGTCAGGCAGGCATGCCGGCGGGCGGGCTTGATGTGGGCGGCTTGCCTGACGATGTCGGTGCGCTTGGCGGCGGGGTAGTAGCGCTGGATCTGGGTGGCGCGGGCGGGCACGCACCAGGGATCCTGCAACAGCACCCAATGCAGCAGCAGCTTGGTGCAGCCAGCATCGAGGTGCAATGCTGCATGGTCAGAGCCCTGCGTCCCATCCAGCAACACAGACAGTACACCACCCCACCTTTTCGCCCCATAGCAGGAACAGCGGCATGTTGCTCAGCTTTGCCAGCAGGCGATTCATGGCTTGGCCTGTAGGCCAGGCAGGGGATGCCAGCCACACAGCACCACATAATGAGATGCTGGTGTGGCAGCCTGCTTGGCAGCTTGCAGGGCACCACAGCCACAGCCCTACACAACATGCCAAACAGCGGCGCTCACCGCGCGCGGTGATGACGCGGTAAAAGACCTGCAGGGCGGGGAAGGGGGGGCGACCCAGCCGCACAGCCATCAGCAGCCAGTGAGCCGTCTCCCTTTCCCTTGTGGCATTTGGGAGCCTTGCAACCGCCAGGCTGGATTGCGCAGCGCATTGCAAGCCCGGGCCCCAATCAGCAGCATGGGAACCCACCAGCAAGCCCAGGCAAGCCTCACTTCGGGGCCGTTGGGGTCCTGGGCGGGCAGGGAGATGCTGCGGACGAGGTCGTCGTCCACATGGGCGGGCGACTCGTAGACCTGCGCCAGGGTAGGAATGGGCGGTTTGCATGCACAGAGCAAACAGCACACACAGTGGGGTGGAAGCGCGTTGCCCACACGTACCTGATTTAACACCTGGCGGATGCGGGCGGGCTGCTTGGTGAAGATGAAGGATGCAAACACGACGCTGCGCTTGACAGAGGCGGTGACTGCAGCCGGGGTGTGCAGGTAAACGGGCGGGGAGGCAGGCAGGCACAGGTTGAGAAAAACGCGGACTTCGGCGGCTGGAAGCCACCGTTTGAGTTTGGGCCCTGAGGCTAACACCCTGGGCACACAGCCCAGCACGGGCTAGGCAAGGGCAGGAGGCCGTCCCCCACCTTGCTCTGCCACGCGGCTCCACAGGCTCTGCTGCTCCTCTGTGGCTACAGCAGCGCCCTCCTCCGCCCCATCCTCGTCAAACCGCCCCGCCGCATTCAGCAGCACCACGCCCCTGCAGCGCCAGCCCAGCACCGCACTGTTGAAGCCAAGTTCGGGGCGCATGCAGGCTGCGAGGGCTGGTGGTGCTTGCATGACACATGCGCATCCTTGCTGCCCTTCATTCAGCTGCACTCAACCACCCACCTGACCAGGTCTGGCTGGCGCGCTGCCGTTTCCAGCGCGTTGTACCCGCCCAGGCTGTTGCCCACCAGCACGACGCGCTCGTCGCCGCCAATCACATCCCGAATGAAGTCTGCAGGGCAAGACGGCAGCGGGATGGCTGCCTCCTTGAAGCCTGGGGCGCACATACAAGGCAGGCCCTCTGTAGTTGACGGCACCCAGCACAGCAGAGCCGATGCCGCACCCGAAATCTGCTCGGTCCACAGCTCATAGCCATCATACTCCACGACCGGCTTGCTGCTCCACCCAAAACCTGCAGGCCATGCCGGCCCGGCAGACGACGACTGTGGCAAGCACGCCAGCAGACAGCCGGCAGTTGAGCGCCCCTTCAGCATGCCGCATGCAGCGCCGAGCGCCCCCGCTCTGCTGGCGCCTCACCCAGGCAGTCAAGCGCATACACGCGGCAGTGCTTGGACAGCTGCGGCACATTGTACCGCCAGTGGTATACGCTGGCGCCGAACCCGTGGATCAGCAGCACCACCGGCCCGCTGTCGCCCGCTGCACGCCAGGGAGGGCAGGCGCCAGGTCAACGGAGAGCTGGGCAGGCCCCTCACGGGGCGTTCAGCCAGAGGCATGGTGCGCGTGCAGCCAGCGCTTTGACAACCCGGCACCCCTCCACAGCGGCACCTGACAGCCAGTTGACATTCTGACCGCGCCACCCCCAGCTGTTCCAGCCTGCACATGGGGCAAGGCCACAGGGAGTCAGGTGCAGCAGGCTGTGAGCTGAGGCGGCTCTTTTGCAGGCAGAGGCACGGGGGCACGCATCCACAGGACTGGGCCTTGTGGCCTTGTCACACTGCTTCACGACCTGGCCACACATGCTGCTTCATCGCACCTTCAGGCTGCAGGGCCAGGCGCTCAACGCCGTATGAATCGATCTCTGTAGTCAGCTCCCGCTGCTGCACGCCTGCTGCAGGTGCCACTGCTGCCGCAGAAGCTGTTGCCACGCCTGCCGTGCCGCCAGTGGTCGCTCCCTGCGCCGTCAGCGGTGGCAGCACCACAGCAGCAGCGGCAGAGCTGCCCAGAAGCTCACGTCGGCTCAGCGCTGCGGCTGTGTGGTGCCTCCCCGACAGCTTATGGTGGCTGAAGGAGGGTGCCGCCAGCAGGGAGCGTCCTCCGCCAAAGGCGCCGCCGCTGCCGCAGGGCCTGAGCGCCCCGGCCACAGCGCTCCGGGTGGCGCCACAAATTGCAGCCTGCATGCAAGCCATGTGTGATGTGCTGCCTAACGGAGCGTGTGGCGGGGCGTGGGGCTGTGGGGAGGTGGCCAGGCCTGAGTGGGAGGTTTGTCAACAAGGGGCCTCAGGACCAACCAAACGGGAAAAGGGGCTGATCGGAGAACTGCGACGTCCACAAACAGACGAGCAAGGCGCGCAGAGGGCAGCAGAGGGCCCATGGGAGCGGGCATCTTTTTTCCGCCGTCTCGCCGAAACAGACGCAAATTAAGACCGCATCGTGCCCATCTGACACCATTGGCTATCCAAAGGCAGCTTACTTCTGACGGCGGCCTCGACTGATCGCCGGGGCGTCCACTACAGCTTGCTTGGTGCTCGTGTCTGGGTTGGTCATACTATACTAGCAGCTGCACAGCTACCGCAGGGCGCTGGGCCGCGGCGCGGACGGCATGGCGAGAGATGCGGCGGCGGCGGCCAAGGGCGGTGGCGGGGCAAACAGGGGCGGCCAGGGCGCGGCCGGTGGCAGGCATATCGATGCCTTCACGCTAGAGCATATGCTGGAGGAGAAGCGGGTGGCGTGCCTGGAAGTGTGGAGCCACTATGTGCTCGTCGGCCTGACAGGTAGCCATCTGGGTGCGAGGACTACTGCACAGGACATGCTCAGAGCTTTTACCTTTCTGTTCTGCCGTAGCTCAGCTTGGCTTGGCTGCCCTGCTCTCGGTGCTGCAGATGGCACGCTGCTGCTAGTCTCCCAGCGGCGGCGGGTGCCCAGCAGCAGCAGCCTGGCAGCCAGCGACGCCGATGGCTCGAGTGCCAGCGCCGGCACCGATGCGGCCCAGGCAGCGCAGCAGGCGCCAGGCCAGCCGCCGCCATGGGCCGTGGTGCAGTCGCTGCGCAACTTTGGCAAGGGCCAGATCAAGCAGCTGCAGGTGGCACGCGAGCGCTCCATGCTGCTCTGCCTGGCAGGTGTGCTGCACTGGTGGCTGGGCGGCGGGAGCACAGCAGGCTTGCTGTTTTGATGCGGTGCCTGCATCATTCCCTCCCTGGGAGGGAATGTCACCACCGCAATGTGTCAGTGTGGGCTGGGCACACGCCTGCTGCCCTTGCCTTGTCCTAGTGCCATCACAGCTTCCCAGCGGGTCCTGGCCTGTCCCCTGCTCCCCCCCTTGCCCGCCTGCAGACGATGGCGTGAACGCCTATGTGCTGCCCGGCCTGCGGCTCAAGGCGCAGGCGGGGCGCAGCCGCGGCGCCAGCCTGTTTGCCTGGCACGGCGGCAGCGACACGCTGGCGGTGGTGACCAAGAAGAGGTGCGGCAGCGAGGCGGGTGGCACGCCCTGCCCGAGCGGCAGCGGCAGCCTCTGCCTGGCGCCTCTCCCTCTCCCAACCCCTCGCACCCGCTTGGGTGGTACCACGCCCCCACCCGCACACGGGGCATGTCACGCTGCAGGCATCACCAAAATGTCCCGCCTGTCCCGCCTGCCCCGCCTGCAGGCTGGCCCTGTTCAAGTATGAAGGCCTGGAGTTTGTGTTCCAGCGGGAGGCTTACTTCCCAGACGCGCCCACCTGCATGCAGCTGGTGGGAGGCACGCTCTACGTCGGACTGGCCCGCAGGCGCGCCGCCGCCGCTCGCCGCAGCTGCCATCGCCGCCGCTCGCCGCTGCGGCACCTCCTGCTGCTCGTGCGGGTTGCTGGCAGCAGCTGGCGCTGCGTTCCTCTTCAGCCCTGCGTGTGCTACACCCAGGGAGGCCCTCCAGCTGCCGCTGTGGGGCTCGCTTTAGCCGGCTCTGGCTGGGTGCCCTCCCTGTCGCCGGCTGCAGGGAGTACATGACTGTGGATGTGGCCACCGCCATCGTGACCCCCCTGTTCACCACAAAGGGCCCCGCAGCCAGCATGGTGCCTGTGTCTGCCACGGGTGAGCGCCCAGCCCTGCCGCCGGGCTTCGCAGCGGGCCAGGATCCCTTCCCACTCCTGCTGTGCACTCTGTGTGCCAAGCTGCCTTGCCTGCTGGCCCCTGCTGCCACCACCGCAGAGGTGCTGCTGGCCAGGGACAGCAGCGGGGTGCTGTACGGGCCAGAGGGCCGCCCCTCCAAGCGCGGCGGCGGCAGCGGCGCCGTGGACTGGGCGGTACCTCCCGCTGTGCTGGCAGTCAGCGAGCCGTACGCGGTGGCGGTGTCGGAGGCAGGGGTGGAGGCCCGCCTGCTGCAGCCGCTCAATGCCGCAGGTGGGGCTGGCGCCGCTGTTGGCTTGCCGTGGGCCCAGCTGTTCCTCTCGCACTGGCAGCTGCCTGTGTCTGCTGCCGGGGGTTGGGTGGTGCAGCTCCCCCGGTCGATCGTGCCCCTGCCTCTCAACCTTCGCCCTGCGTCGACGCCCGGCCCGCAGACCTGTGGCAGCAGCTGGCGCTGGCGCTGCCGGCCGCCGCCACCTCATGCGGGGTGGCTCCCACCGCCGCCGCGGATGGCTCGCTCTTCCTTGCCAGCCGGGGCACGGGCGCTATCAAGCAGGTGAGCGGGCGATGGAGCAGCAGGAGGAAAGCTCATGAGCTGTTGGAGGCCGCAGGGCCCTGCTATATCCCTGGCATGCTGCGCTGTCGCGCACACCCTGGCACATCTGCCGCCCCCTGCCCCTTCTTCAGCTGCGCCCCGTGAGCTTTGCGCGGCAAGCAGAGCAGCTGCTGGGCCTGGGAGAGCACGAGGAGGCACTGGCTATGGCAGCCCTCATCCCCCTGGAGCAGGTGGGCGGCCAGCATCTGGTGACTGAGCAGGGTTGGTTGGAGGAGCTGCACGAGCGAGTCGCCTCCCATGGGAGCAGGCGCCGCCGGCTGTGTCCTATATACGCCGTGCCGCTTTAGGCCTCCCTTGCTGCCTAGCCTGCCCTGCCTCGACCGTCGCGCCCCATCTGTTCTGCCCTTGAGCGCACCTGTCCGCCCACCTGCATGTGCAGGCTGAGGAGCGGCGGCAGCTGGAAGACATCATACACCTGGGCTATGGCCGCCTGCTGTTCAGGTGCAGCATGGCAGGGAATCAGCACTGGGGTAGCCCGGGGCGCCTGCATGGACGGGCTGGCTCCGCCTGCTGTATCGCCCGCGGGTAGCTGGGTCAGCCCCTCCGATTCCGGCCATGCCTGTGTTTATGGTTTATGCTGAGCAATCCTGTTGCACCACACCCGTACCGCAGGCAGGGGCAGTACGAGGAAGCCATGCTGCACTTTGGCATGAGCGGGCTGGCGGGGCCGCTGCACCTGCTGCGCCTCTTCCCCTCGCTGGCGCCGCCCAAGCTGCTGGCTGCCGCCGCCGCCGAGCAGGCTGCTGCCGCGGCAGAGGCTGCTGCTGCCAGTGCTGTTGCGGGCGAGGGAGTGGGCACTCGCGAGCCTTCGCAAGCAGGGGAGCAGGCGGCGGCAGAGGCGGTGCAGGAGCTGGAGGAGGCAGCCGATGCGGAGCCTCAGGGGGAGGCGTTTGTGGCGGCGGTGCAAGTTGTGACGCCCTACCTGCTCAGCCACCGCAGCCGGCTGGCGGCGGCAGCGGCCAGCCCCGCTAGGCCGGCCACGCTGCTCGGCGGCGGCGGCGGCTCGCAGCAGCACACGCCCCAGGCGGTGGCAGGCCTCGCAGGGGAGGTGGAGGTTGAGATGGGCCCCAGCCCTTCCACCCGGGCGGTGATGGTGCAGCAGCAGCTGGAGGGCAGCGCCACCGCCGCCCTGCTGGACACCTCACTGCTGCTGGCCCTGCTGGCCATGCCCGATAGCGGCGCGCTGCTGAGGTGAGGGCCGCCAGTGGCCGCCTCGCCGCCGAGCTCCATCCCATCTGCCATTCCAAGACAAGCTGCTGCGAGCTGGCGCCGGCCGTGCCGTTGCTGCTGGCTGGCCTGCCTGACCTCTCCCGCGCTCTGGCCTGCCCCACCCGCAGGTTTGTGCATCGCCCAAACTGCGTGGACCTGGAGGCGGGCGAGGCGGCGCTCAAGGGGTCGGGGCGCTACTCGGAGCTGGTGGCGCTGTACCAGGTGCCTGGCTGTACCGCCTGGATGTGCCACAGTACAATCATGTACTGCTGTACTGCTCTGCTTAGTGTTTGTTCCTGTGCCGCTGGGCAGCCCCAGCTTCGGCCCGAGCGCTGCCCGCCGACGTGCCCGGCATGCCCGCCACGCCGGCCTGCAGACCAAGGGCCGGCACTCGGCGGCGCTTGAGCTGCTGCACGCGCTGAGCCAGAGCCCGGAGCAGCTCCCGTCACCGCCGCAGGGCGCAGCGGCAGGTGGGCAGCGCGGGTGGTGGGGCGGGGCGGGGGCAGTGGTGACCTGCCTGCTCCTCCTCCCTTCTGTCAGGAGCCTACTGACCGCCTCCTGCGCTGCCACTGTGTGCAGAGCTGCGGGGCCTGCCTGGCGTGTGGGCAGCTGTCAAGTATGTGTGCCACATGCCAGAGGGGGAGCGAGACCTGGGCCTCATCTCCACGCATGCCAAGTGAGCTGAGCTGCCTGGCTGGCAGCTGGCCGTTGGTCAGCGGCTGGTCTGGTGGCAAGCAGTCGCGGCAGCCTGGCAGCCTGGTTGGTGGTGGGCGGGGGCGGTGCCTCAAAATCAACAGCAATTCGCTGCTTCTTGACTCTTTGTTTCGATGCTGCCCCTGACCTTGCTTGCCCCTCCCTCCTGGGCAGGTGGATGCTGGCAGCCGACCCCGACGCCGGGCTGGAGATGTTTGGCAGCATGGACCCGCCGCTGCCGCCCTCTGCGGTGCTGCCCATGCTCACCTCTTACGCACCACAGCTGGCAGGTAAGGCCCCCAGCCCCGCAGCACCCTGCTTCCCCGCTTCAAGCAGTAGCTGGGCTTGCCTGGCCTCGCACTTGCCGTTGACCTCCCCCTGCTTCCTGCGCTTTCTTGACCCCGCTGCCCAACCAACACCCCTGCCCTCTCTTTCGTTTCACAGGCCTGTATCTGGAAGCAGCGCTGGCCACGGGCGCCGCTGACCCCTCCGTTTATGAGCAGGAGCTGGCACGCATATACCTGGAGCGCATTGCCCGCAGTACCAGCAGTACCATCGGCGCCGCCAAGGGGGCAGGCGCTGGCAAGGCGGCCGGCAAGCCGGCTGGCAAGGGCGCTGCTAAGGTGGCTGGCGAGGCGGCGGAGGGTGTTGTGGATGAGGCGGCGGTGCCTGAGTATGGCAAGCTGAAACAGCTGGTAGGTGGCTGGCGTGATGCGCTCCAAAGCCACCCTCCTGGTGCAGGAGCCCCTGCTGCTCCTGGGTGCCATGTCCACATGCGGAAGCGCCTTGTTTGTGTCATGCTGCTGGACAAGAGGGCGTGCAAGCCTGCCCGTTGCCCTGCCTGTCCCGCAGATTCTGAGCAGCTGCCGGCTCAACTATGAGGCGCTGCTGCTGGTGATACCGCAGCATCGCATGCTGGAGATCCGCGCCGCGCTGCTGGAGCGGTTGGGCAGGTGGGCTCTGGGGCCTGCACCTGCCTGGGATGGCTTTGCTGGCTTCGCTGCGCACATGTGTCGCTCGCCCCTGCCCCTCCCGCCCCCTGCCAACCTTCTTGCTGATCGGCTGCACCCTGCGCCTGCAGGCACACCGAGGCGCTGCGAATCTACATCCACCGCCTGCGCCAGCTGGGGGCGGCGGAAGCATACTGCGACCGCGTGTACCAGCGGCGGCAGCAGCAGCTGCGCGAGCAGCGGCATGCCGAGCTCGCCGCGGCGCTGCGGTGGCAGCGCCAGGCCGCCAGTGCCGCGGCAGGCAGTGGCGGCGCGGCGCCTGCTGGCTGGGCTTCCAGCAGCATTGCCGGCCTGGGGGGCAGCAGCGGCAGCATTCGCAGCCTGCAGTTTGGCGGCGGCGGCCACAGCGGCAGCGGCACCAACTTGCATGCTGCAGGGGTGCCTGCCACCAAGCTGCAGCGGGCAGCGGGGAGCGGCGGCGACAGCGAGGATGGAGCCGACATTTATCTGCTCATGGTGCAGGTGAGTGTTGCTGCCCCAGTCTTGGCAGATGGGATAGAGGGCAGAGACCGCTGCCCGGCCACCTGGCTGCTGGCCAGCACTCCCAGGGCCCGCCACAGCCTGCCGGTAGCACACATACACAGGGCACACTCCCCATTCGCTCTCCTTCCCCTGCTGCAGGTGCTGCTGGAAGAGGAGGACAGCAGCGGCACCTTCCACCATGTCGAGGTGAGTCGGGCTGCTCCCCTGCGCAAAGCAGGCAGCTGCCTGGCCATGTTGCTGTATGGGTATTGCAGCCCTTGCCTCTGCACCTGTTGGAGGAAGGGTTGTCTTGTTGCGCTGCCCTGCCACTGCCCTGCAGCACGCGCCAGACCACGCTGTGTGGGGCGAGGTGGCGCGGCTGCTCAGCCGCAAGCGGGACGCCATCCAGCCGCTGCACGCGCTGAGCCTGCTACCTGGAGAGGCGAGTACGGGCGCGCATGGCTCCAGACTCCTTCTTGCACATCCGCGCGTTGCGTTTTCTTGTTGCCACCTCCAAGCAGCCCCACCCGCTACACTGTCAGACTGCCTGCCTGCCCACGTGCCTGCCTGCACTGCACTGCACTGTCAGACTGCCTGCCTGCCCACGTGCCTGCCTGCACTGCACTGCACTGTCAGACTGCCTGCCCGCCCACGTGCCTGGCTCGTTCCCACGCAGGTGCCGCTGGCCAGCGCACTGCCGTTCCTGGAGGGAGCGCTGTGGGGCGCGGGCGAGCGGCGGCGCACCGCCGCGGTGGCCCGCAACCTGCGCCGCTCGGAGCATGTGGGCCTGCTGGGCGAGCTGGCAGATGCGCGGCAGAGGTGGGTGGGAGCGGGTGCTGCTGAAGCCTGCCCGCTGCTGCCGCTGCTCAGGCCAAGCGCCACCAGTGGTGCTGGATTCTGGTGACTTTTTCTAGTCTCACCCCGGCCCTCCAAAGACACCTGCCCGCCCCTGTACCGCAGACATGTGCTGCTGACGCCCGAACGCAACTGCAGCATCTGCTACAAGAGGGTCGGCAGCGCGGCGCTGGTGGTGTTCCCTACCGGCATGTTGGCGCACTACAGCTGCCACCGGCGGGCCTCTGGGGCTGGGCAGCAGGCGTCGGGGCGCGCGTCAGCAGACGGCACGGCCAACGGGCGAGTTGCGGTGGGCGCGGGCGGCGGCAGCAGCTTCCGCGAGTGGTCCTGACCTGACCTGTGAGGGGGCTGGGCTTGCTGCACACGGCTCGTTGCTTGCATGCTGTGGCAATGACGCGTTGAAGCAAGCGTTGTGGCGACCGCTCTGCAAGCCGCCTCCATCTTAAGAGTGTGGTGCCAGGCCGACGACATGATGAGCCGATGAGCCGGTGTTGATACTCTGGCTGTAACATTGCTGCTTAGATTAGAGGCCCACATTGCAAGCTCCAGAAACCAGCAGGATCCCGCCGCCGATCGCGCCGCTCCGTCACCATTGCCCCTTCTGGGATGGAGCAAGCAGCCAGGCATCAAGCTGGATTTGTGCTCTCTGCACGGTTTGCGAGCCCTTTCAACGCTCAGTTTGCCGCTTTGCACTCCCTTGCTAATAAAGCGGGCAGCGCCTGCCTACTCCCGCCCAGCCACGCTCGCAGCTGGGGATTCGATTTACCCGGCTGATTGCAGCGTGGCAGCCCGCCATGGCACCAAAGCAGCAGCAGCGCCGTGCGCTGGCCGCCATCCTGGTCGTGGCGATGATGGTGGGCACCGCGTCTCACGCGGCGGCCTTCACCCTGCCAGACCAGCAGGAGAAGATCACCGCCTTCCGTGATGCGATGCTGGCGCGCCCGGGCCAGGCGAGGCTTTGAACGCCGCACCCAACGGCGGCCGCGGCGGCGGTGCGTGGTGGATGGAGGCGCACCGCAAAACATGCTGCATGTGTGCGCTGCAGGAGAACTGGACCAAGGCGCTGGCATCCTGGACCTGCCCCACCAATCCCGTCAACAGCGTCGGCTCAGCCTGCGATCCCTGCGGCCAGCAGGTGTGCCGCGCCCGCTGCTCGCCCGCCTGCGCCCGCTGCTTGTCTGTGTAAGAGCGGCTCTCCTCGCTGATGCATCCTCACGCCGCCTGCCCGCAGGTGTGGGGCAACTGGGAGCACCTGGCCTGCCGCGGCGCGCGCGTGACATACACCAAGGAGCAGGTGGGGGCGGAGGAGGAGGCAGCGAGCGGTCGCACCGCCCAGGCCAGGCGCCCGCCCGTCTCCTGCTGCCAGCCCTGCTGACCAGGCGCTCGTGGCTGCCTCCTCCTGCGCGCCCCAGCAGGTGCCAGGCACGGGCGTCATCAACCATGTGCACATCACAGACTACTTCCTGGAGGGGGAGGTCCCGCTGGCGGAGCTGTGCCCGCTCACCAACCTGGTGGTGAGCGGGAGAGCGTGTGGGGGCTGGCATGCCGGCTGGCTGGTGGAGAGCATGCGCCTGCATTGGCCCTGTCACGCCAGGTGCCCCATGCGGGCTGTCCTCCTGTCCCGTGTCACACCAGCACGCCCACTTCACCGCCTGCCCCCCGCAGGAGTTTGATCTGGACGGCGGCAGCCTGACGGGCACCATCCCCACAGGCTTTGCCCAGTGCTTCCCGGAGCTGCGGGAGCTGGACCTGTCGTACAACCGGCTGTCGGGGCCGCTGCCGCGCGAGATTGCCGCGGTACAGACCCTGGAGCAGTACAAGGTGGAGCACAACCAGCTGACCGGCACGCTGCCAGAGGAGTATGGCACGCTGGGGGATATGGTGAGCACCACGCTGGCCCCGCACGGGGAGCAGCGCTGCAGCTGCTCAGGCTGCAGGCCGCCGCCAATGAGCTGCTGCACCACGGCAGCCCGCAACGCCAGCCTGGCGACACAATCCGCACCTCGATGCCTGCGCCGCTGTGCCCTGCTGGCGTCAACCCCCTCTCTCCTGTGCCCGCCTGCCGCTGCCGCACAGAACTGGCTCAGGTTCTCCGACAACAAGCTCGTCGGCACGGTGCCCGCCAGCTTTGCCCAAACAGCGCCCCACCTGTTTCAGGTGAGCAAGACGCCTTGGCACCCTTGTGGTCCATACACACTGCTTACCTGGCACGGCCACAATGTGGGCTCCTGAGCCGCCTGCTCGCTCTCCCACACACCCTGCAGCTCACCCTGGACAACAACGACTTTGAGGGCAGCCTGTACCCTCTGGCCGAGCACTCCATGGTGAACTTCAACGCCGCCGAGAACCCCAAGCTGGTGGGTCACCAGAGCCGAGCTGGCTGCCTGCCTACCTACCTGCCCTCCTGCTCTGCGCGAGGCAGTGGCCAGCAAGGCACTGCGGGTTTTGGTGGCGCGTCCCCCTTGCCCACCCCTCGTGCACGCCTTGCCTTGCAGTGCGGCATGGTCCCCGTGGGCCTCCGCTTTGCCCACGGCTTCAATCCGCGCATGACCGGCCTGGGACTGCCCTGCCCAGACGAGGTGGCCAATGGATGGCAGGACCTGTCGGAGGTGCTGTGAGCATTGCCGCAGAGCTCGAGCTCGCCCTGTCGACACAGCAGCGGTCCTGGACGGCAGCAGGGCGTGCAGCAGCTTGAGGTGGTTAGTGTGTTTAGCTTGCATTTAACCGTAGTCTGTGAAGTTCACAAACATGCACAACATTTCGAAATGTGGTTGCGGCTCCAGGCTGCGCAGCTGCCGCCGCCGCGTGTTCAACGAGGCGCCGGCGCTGGCGGCGCCAGCAACCTGCGGCATCATCTCGCTGGCTATTTCCGGCGCGCCCCAGCAGCGTTCCCATTGCCTGCTGCACTCTCCTGCAAGCGTTTCTTGCCCTGCCTGCTGCAGCTTCGGCTCTTCAGCCACCGGACCCTGGTGGGAGGCGTTACCTGCAGCTGATTCACTCGGCACCCCCATTCGCCTGTTTCGGAATCCCACAACCATGCCGCCAGTGCTACGGAGCTCCTGCGAAGTGGCGGGACCCTCCACTCCCCATGGCCAGAAGGAGGTCAGGAGAGACCCCTGCCATCTTCTGGCGCTCCCAACTGAGCTCCTGGAGCGCTGTACTGTGAACCAACAGGAGTTCAAGACACTCAGCTCTATTGCGCAAGTTTGCTCGAGTTTGCGCGCTCTGGCTGAGGTAAAGTCGTGTGGGCTCGGCGTGGAGTCCCAGCAACTTGCATTCCGCCCACTAGCCCCGGTTGAGGTCGTGGATTGGGGTCTGGGGTTTTGGGATCGCATTGTCCTTCCCCCTCCGCGCCCAATTCGTGGAGGCGCCAACTCGTTTCCCGCCCGCAGGACTGTGACCTGTGGCGCCGCGAGTGGGAGCGCGTGTACGGCGAGATTGGGGCTGTGCAGCAGGCGGCGGCCAGCAAGGCCGGCGGCTGGAAGGCGCTCTTTGCTGCCCGCCACGCCGCGCTCAAGGAGGCCGAGCCCTGGCACAAGCCCTGCGCCTTCGAGGTGCAGGCATCAGGTGGGGCCTGCGGCGCTGCAGTTGGATACTGGGAGGTCGCGATGGCTGTGTGGGGGGCACTGTTACAGCCGCTGCTGCTCTGCCAGCCAGCTGCGTTACGCGCGGCGCCCTGGCCAGGCGGCCGCGTTTGAGCCTGGGTTCATGGAGTCTGCCACCCTGCCTGCCCCGCCTAGCCTCATGATGGCCCAGCTGCCGCATCCGCGCGGTGCTCTGACTGGCCCTCCCACGCTTGCCCACGCCCCGCACCCGCCGCAGTCGACATGCTGGCTGCTGTGCCGCCGCGGGCGGCTGGCAAGGAGGCGCGCGCTGCCGGCGCAGCCCAGGGCGTGGTGGAGGCTGAGGCCAGCGTGCCGCAGGAGGAGGGGCAGGAGGAAGAGGAGGAGCTGTGCGTGGTGTTCTTGGTGGATGGCTCAGGTGCGGCGGGCACGGGGCTCGCCTGCCTGGGGCAGATGCCTGTGGCGCAGATGGCTGGCACAGGCGCCGCCGCCCTCGTGCCGCCGCCCGCTGCTCTCCCCGTGGCCGTGCGCCGCGTTCGCCCGACCCCCCTGGCTTCGCTTTCAGCCTGGGTCCCGGCTGCACGCCCCGCCCTCCCCCACCCACCCACGCCGCAGGCAGCGTGACTGAGGAGGACTTCCGAGTGATGACAGGCTTTATGCTGGCAGCCGTGCGCGGCCTGGCGGGCGGCGCGGCGGGGCAGGGGGCCGTGCCCCCGCTGCGCAGCAAGGTCGCCGTCATCCAGTTCAGCAACGACATACGGGTGGAGCAGGTGGGGTGGGGCGGGCAGGGGCTGCGGTGGGTATGTGTAGAGAGTGGCTGGCTGGCTGGCTCGCGTTGTCACCCTGCCTGTTGCCTGCAGCTGCTGCCTGGCGGCTGCTTGCCTCCCCCCAGCCCCGCCACCGACCAGCGCCGCCGCCTGGTGTGCCGGTGCAGGGCCCCGTGGATGTGGATGTGGGCGCGTTTGAGGCGCTGATGGCGGGCATGGCGCGCATGAACGGCGGCACCAACATCGCGCTGGCCGTGCAGAAGGCGGGGCAGCTGCTCAAGCCGCTCAGCGCCACCGCGCACCGCGTGCTGGTGCTGCTCACAGACGGGCGCATCGACTCGCACCAGGTGGGCAGGCGGGCTGGGAGGCTGCTTGGCAGGGCAAGGGTCTGGGGGCTGGGGAGCACGTGCTGCCTCACGCGGCCCTGCCTCTCCTCCCGCTCCTCTCCTCTTCCCCCATGGCCTCTATCCCACATCCCTCCCACCCACCACCCACCTGCCGACACATCTGCCCCCTCCTCCCCACCCACAACCGGCTGACGGCAGTCGCGCGAGGCCCGTGACATGGCGGCGCGCCTGGGCGACGAGCAGGCCAACGTGCGGGTGCACGCCTACGGCGTGGGGCGCGGCGTGGACAAGCAGGAGCTGCTGCGCATCTGCGCGGCAAGAGACCCCGACTCTGCTGAGGACAGGTGTGCGGCGGGCATGCAGGGGGCAGGGGGGGCCTGCGCTGGCTGGGCCGAGCAGCGCAGCCGCTCCCTGCATCTGCCGCGTGTCGCAGCGGGGAGGAGCCTGCCCCGCGTCAGTTGGCTGGCCTGGTGCATGCGCTCGCCGCTCGGCGTCCTGGCGTCACGTGCTGCCTGCTGCGCGCCCCGTGCGGCCGCAGGTACATGGGCCTCATGGTTCTGGATGAGGCGCCCTGGTGATGCGCTCGTCGTGCAGCTGTCAAGAAGAGTAGTCCCTTTAGTAGAGCAGGCTGGAGACCCTCCCGGCAGAAGGCTGTCTGCCAACCGCTCCAACCCCCATGCCACACCTATCGCTAGTCATTCTTAGCCCTCACAGCCCCCTTGGCCCCGCAGCCAGCCACTTCAGGCAGCACTTGTAGGGCGCAGCTGCTGCAGTGTGGATAGCGCCTTGTTGCAAGCAGGCAGGCGGGCAGGCTCGCCAGACAGGCAGCTTGTATAATCATACCCCACACACTCAAATCTTCGCTGCGTGCCTCCCCCGTTCACTTGGCACCCAATTTTCCAGTGGCCGCCTGTACCATCAAGCCCCGCCTGGGAGCGGCGTGCATTGTGCATTCAACTGGCACTGCAGTGTGCTGTGTGGTTGTCCTCCCTTTTCCCTCCTTCTCCTTCTCTGCATACTCGCATTTTGCAATCGCGCCCTACGGCCGCCCCTTAGCGTCCCCCTTTTGAGATTCAGCACATGCCGCTTCTTGCCCGTATCCCGTTGAACCCCTGCATGTATCAACGCCCTCCCTCTTGCCTCCTGCATGCGCGGGCGCCTGAGACACGGCTTGTACCATACGTTTCAGCCTGCTGTCCCAGAATGCCTATGTACATCCACTAGCGCACCCTGTTGTAACCAGACAAAGTGACAGCCTGCTTCTCCTGCTTCTCGCTCCTCCTTTTCAGAGCACCCTGCAAAAGAAGCCACAAATCTGCACAGCACATGCCATCAGCTAAGATGGCGGCAGGCCCGCTGCCAAGGATTTGACAGGTGCGTGCAGATGGCGGCGTTCATGCCCAGAGTGGGTGGAAAGCAGGAATGATCCCATGCATTTTCCCGACTTTTCCGCTCGGCCCGTCGCATTCTGCAGCGGCTTGTGGCGCAGTCGCTGCGAGGAATGGCGCGGTTCCTTTTGGCAGTCGCAGCCTTGCTGTTGCTGGTCGCCTGCCGGAAGGAGGCTCTGGCCAGCCCCCTGCTGCAGGTCAACAGCCTGGCGGTGGTGCGTGGGTGAGCCAGCTGCTATGGCGGCACGGCATCGTGCTTTGCAGTCGTCGGCAACCATAACCCCTTATCCATCGTCGCCGCCGCCGCTGCTGTTGCGTGCAGCGTGGTGGTCAACCTCTCTGGCGCTGGGTGCGCCACCCTGGAGGTGCAGCTGGAGCACAGCTCGATGCGTGCCACAGCCTGTCCCGATGCTAGCAGCGGCGCTGCCTTTGCGATGCCCCTCCGCTTTCCTGACGCCGCCGCCAGCCGCCTCGGGCGCTTGACCATCACGCAACCAAGCACCGCTGTCGGCGCCGTTCACGTTTGGCGGCGGTTCATCGATGCGAGCAGCATGGAGCAGGTGCAAGTGGATATGGAGCAGGCGGCAGTCGCCGATAGCCAGCTGGGGCAGATCCGTCACCCCGCTGGTGTGCAGCCGCCCGCAGCAGAGGCCGGTGCACCACTCGGCACCCCGGACGCCCCCAGCTGCGGCTGCCGCTGCTCTTGGATGGAGGTGGAGGACGTGGGCGACCGCAGCCTGCCCACCTTCCTGGCCATAGCCGCAGGCTCAGCACCCACGTGCCTGCCACCCAGCCCCCACGTAGCCCCTTCCACCCTGACCGCCACCACCACCCACAGGCTGCTGACAGACAGGCCGCTGGCGGGCCTGGGTGCAGCATGCGTGCTGCAGGCGCTGGCGCTGGCTGCGCTGCTGCTCCGCCGGGGTGCTGCTGTCAGCCAGCCAGCGCCGGCTGCAGCAGCGGGCGCTGGCGGGGAGGAGCAGCGCGCGCCAGAGTCGCCGCAGCAGCAGCGGCCCAGCCTGCGCGATGCCTGCACCAGCCCGCTGGTGGCTCTGCTGGCCAGCCCCTTTGTGCTGCGCAAGGCCCAGGACGCGGACACAACGCTGGAGTCGATCCCAGAGGGGGAGCCGTCTCGGCAGGAGGAGGAGCAGGAGCGGCCCCAGGGCCATCCTCAGGGCCATGCTAGCCTGCCGCCCCCGCCCGTGGGCTGGAGCAGGTGCGCGCGGGCTTCTGCTCGCAATGCGCCCTGTCATGCAGCGGGGGCAGCGGGAGGTCGGCATTGCCTTAACCGCCACCCACCCACCAGCTGCACATGCACCGACCCACAGCAGCCAATCTGTTGCTCCCGCCCGCCTGTGGCGCAGGGATGCGTGGGGCCGCCTGCAGCGGCAGCCGGGGCGTGGCGCTGGCGGCAGGTGGGGCGCCAAGGCGGTGCCTGCCGTGCACCACCCGCCGCCCTTTGGCAGCACGCCCGGCACCGCGTATCGCACCATGTCGGAGGAGTGAGGCAGAGGCACCAGGTGCTTGGCAGGATGACATGCTGTCCATTTCAGCCTTTGCGTGTGTGCGTGTGTGTGTATGTGTGTATTTCAAGGGAGCGTACGTGTGCAGCAATTCGAGGTCCATTCATTTCAGACTGGATGTGCCTGTGGCGGGCAAGACGATGAAAGCGGCAGAGAGCTGAGGGGGAAGGAGATGGCAGCGGGAAACAAAATGGCACTGTTGACGGGAGACCCACCAAGCAGCCAAGCAGCAAGCAAAGGACTGGCCCTGGCAGGGCCTGGTGGGGCAAACAGGGTGGCGAATACTCAGTGGCACCCAGGTGCCACAGGCGCAGCAGCAAAATGTGGCCCCAGGGCGGGGGCCAAGAAAAAATCGCAGGGATGCCTTTGCCAGAGCTGCTCCGCATCAGCGCGGATGGCGGCAGGTGGCGGGTGGCGGGCGCTGGCCGGCGCCGGCTATGAATCGCATGTGGGTGGCCCGCCTCAATGGGAGTGCGGCAGAAAGCTCTCTGCTCTCTCCCTCTGGCTGCCGTGCGGCATCACTCAAACACGGCCTCCCACACCGCAAACTGGAAGCCGCTGTGCACCAGCTGCCACTTCTTCTGCCCCACATCCACGCCGTCCTTGGTCGGGCTGCAGCCGCGGGGAGGGGCGGGGCAGACAGGGTCAAGGGTTCAGCTGCGGCAGGCGCGCCCCACAGCCAATGGCGCATCCTTGCAGCGCGTTGGCAGGTCGGTACCGCCCAGTCCCTGCATCCCCACAGACCCCCAGCCCACGACGGCTGCCCATGCACTGCGCAGCTGTGCAGGAGCAGCAGCAGCAGCAGTGCCGCCCAGCACCACCCAGCCCCCGCCCACCTCCAGTCTGCCGGCCCCATCTTCATGGCCACCTTCTTGTCGATCACCGCAGCATACAGCTCGTTGTACGCCTTGCGCACCATCACCTGCAGGCAGCAGCAGCAGCAGCAGCAGCAGCAGCAGCAGCAGCAGGGGAGGGTGGGGCAGGCCGCAACGCACCCGGTTTCCCGGGAAGTCGGGCACGGCGCTGCGGACCACTCCACCAAGATCGCAGCACAACTGGCAGGCGTGCAAGCATGCCTGGGCGCCTTCTCCAACCCCCAGCTGCAAAGGCTAGGCGCGAGGCCCCGCCCGCCTGCCCGCCCGCCACCCCAGGCCTGCCCCGCACCGCACCTCGCTCTTGGCGTTGATGCCGTGCTTCTTGCGTATGCGCAGCAGCTCCAGGATGTGCTCCCGCAGCTTGGGCTCCTGGTAGAAGTGGTCGTAGAAGACGCAGGGGGTGCCGCAGTGGGTGAGCAGGTAGCAGTAGGCCTCGGGCAGGTGGCGGGAGGGGAAGGGCCAATGGTTGAGCGTGGAGCCTGCGGGGGGAGGGGGTGGTGGGTTGTGTGGGTGTGGGTGTGGGTGGGTGTGTGGGGGAGGGTGGATGGCAGGCAGGAGAGGGCAGGGCAGGAGCTGGCCTGGATGAAACGCCCGCAGGAAACAGACGCCAGGCGCCAAGCGCAGCCTCCTCGCTCACACAGATCCCCCACCCCCCACCCCGCCCACCCGTGTCGTGGTTCTCCAGGAAGGTGACGGCGCGGGAGGGCCACAGGCCCAGCACCCCCGGCGGCTTGCCCTGGCCGTCGATCAGGCGCCAGTACTCCTTGCGCCCCACCGCCTCCTGCAGGATGCCCTTGGTGGTGAAGTCAAAGGCGGCCGAGGTGCCGCCCGTGGCGTCGCACCAGTCCACGGTGCGCTGGCGGTGCGAGTCTTGGTTGTAGTTCAGCACGCCGTCTGGAGGGGGCGGGAGGGAGAGGAGGGAAGAGGGGGTTGGCGGCTTGTTGGCAAAGCAGGGGCGGCATAGGAAGGCTGGGCGGCGAGCTGCCTAGGGCAAAGGTGCGGGAGGCAAGCCGCAGCCGCCGCAGCCGTCTCACCCGTGTATGAGCATGTGTCCCAGTACTCTCCAAACGCCATCTCTGGCACCGTGGCGTTCACATACTCGCCAATCCACCGCCCCTCGTAGCCCTGCAGGCGCGGCAGGGGGAGGGCAGCGGGCACGGGGAGGGCGTGACGGGCGAGGCCACAGCCAGAAGCGGGAGGCAGTCGGGCGCCGCCCTGCTGCGCAGCCGGCACGGCAGAGGCAGCGCGGCGCCGCATCGAGTGCGGGGCTGGCATGGCAGCACGCGGCGCGGCAGGCGGGGCGCAGCGCGGGGCAGGCGGGGCACGGCGCGGCGCGTGGCAGCAGTACATCCAACGGTCCCGCCCCCGAAGGAAGGACATCAGCCTGCGTGGCAGCAGGCGCCGCGCGCGCCGCGCCGCACCTTGACGTAGTCGAAGCGCCAGCCGTCAAAGCCGATGGAGTTGCGCAGGTAGCGCATCCACTCCGCAATGTCCTTGCGTATCCGCTCCTGCGGTGTGGTGTGGTGTGCGGCGTGTGGATGGCGGTGGCGGTGTGCGTGCGAGCAGGCGTGGGCAGCGCAGCTCAGGAGAGCAGCAGGCACAGCGGGCAGACGGGGACGAGGCCATCCCTCACACCCACACAGCCACGCACAGCGCACACGGCCGGCCTCCCACCTGGCTGTGGTCCACGTTGGGCGCTGCCGGGTAGTCCTCTGCGTTCTTGTAGCCGCCGGTGCCGCCAAAGGCGGGGTTGTTGGCGCAGATGGCCGACTTGTCCCAGGCCAGCCGCCCGCCAAACTTGTTCCACTTGCCGTCGTCGCCCTGCTTGTGTGCGTGGTGCGTGGGGTGTGTGGGTGTGGGTGTGGGTGTGGGTGTGTGGGGGGCCAAGGGGGAGTGTGTGGGCAGAGGGGCAAGGGGTAGGAGAAAGACGGGCAGAGGAAGGGCAGTGTCCCCTTCCCGCACGCGGCGCGCTGCCACCCAGCCTGCCCACCTGGTAGTGCGCGCAGCGGTGGTTGATGACGATGTCGGCAATCACCTTGATGCCCTGCGGCAGCAGCAGGCACAGCGTGGGCACGGCACAGGCACGACGTCAGATACACAGACACAGATACACAGACACGACGCAGACACATCAGCGCTGCCAGGCAGGCGCCAGCAGGGGCGGGGCGCTGCCAGCCAGCCACCAGTCAGGCCCCCGCGCTGGCTCCCCAAAGCAAGCAGGCGTGCACGTCAGCTCCCACACCCCGGCCTCCCACCTGCTCGTGAAACACGGCGATGGCGTCCCGCAGCTCCGCCTCGGAGCCAAACTTGGAGTTGAGGTCGTACAGGTCGCGCGGCAGGTAGCCCTGGGTGGAAAGAAAGGTGGAGGGGAGGAAAAAAGGTGGAGGGAGGGCAGGAGAGGTAGCGGCGTGGATGGCCAGGTGCCGGCAGGGAGGCGCACGGGGATGAGGTGGCGAAATGCAGGCGGCACTCGTGCTTGTTTCAATTTCGGTGCGACCGGACGGTGTGCAGCGCGCAGCGGCGGCGGCGGCGGCGGCGGCGGCGGCATGCACCTGTGGGCTGACGGAGTCGCTGGGCGGCGGGAACCAGACGGCGGTGAAGCCCGCCTCAGCAATGTCCGCCGCCTGCGCGCAGCAGCAGCACCCCGATTTGCTGATCGCCGGCCAGTCTGCTCCACCCACCTGGTGGAAGCCACGGCAAGCGGAAGCCAAGCGCCGCCGCTACTGGCAAGCACACCACTGGCTAGCCCCAGCAACCTCACAGACAGACACACACCCACACGCGCACACGCACCTGCGCCGCCAGCTTCTTGTACCAGGCCTCTTTGCTGGACTCCCAGTTGAAGCCCTGCAGGATGATCTCAAAGCCGTTGCCGGCGGCGGGGCCGCTGGTGCGCACCTGCGGGCCGCCAGGCAAGGGGGGCGGAGGGCAGGGGTGGCTGGGATCAGGCGTGGGGTGCGGCAGGGTGCAGGCACTGGCTATGCAGCTGGGAAGGCACGAGGAGGAGGGCGGGCGCGGGGCGCTGTCGCCGTGTGCTGTGGCGCGCAGCCGTCCTTACCGTGGGCGGCGGCTGCATGAAGTCGGGCAGCGATGGCTGCACCACCTCCACCGTCGCAGCCGCAATCTGCCGCCGCGCTGCAGGGCAGCAAGGGGCAGGGGCGGAGGCGTCAGGCAATGCAGACCGCAGCAGCACAGCCAGCCAGCAGACGCCTTGCACCGGGTGAGTGCATGCATGATGCTACTTTTACGGGGCAGCTGGCGGGTGCTCCAGCAGCGCGCCGCGGCGGCGGCAGGCAGCGCCAGCGGCGGAGGCGCCCACCCGTCAGCAGCGCCTCCATGGCCGCCAGGCGCCGCTCCAGCAGCGACGCCGCCTCCACGCGCTCCATCTGCGGTGGCAGGGGGAGCAGGGCGGGCAGGCGGCAGGCATCAACCTCGTGGTGCGGGAGGAAAGTGCAGGAGGAAAGCGGAGCCTGGGGTGTGCACCGACGCCCGTTCAGGCCATGCCTGTCTGCATTCAAACCGGCTGAGCTGCCGCGCTGCCGGCCCAGCCTCTCTTGACAGCCCCCCTCCCCCAGCACCTGCTTGGCCGTCAGCGCCGCAGGGTCCTTGCCGTCAGTCATCAGCGCCAGCATGGCTCGCTCTACCGACACCAGGGCCGCCGCCGCAGACGTCATCTCCCCGGCGGCACGCTCCAGAGCATCCGGGTCGCCAGCGTTGGTCAGCGCGCTGCGGTGGGAGGCAGGGGCGGCGGGAGCTCACGGGACGTGTGGGCGCCAGCGGCGGCGGCAGCAGCCAGCCAGGCATGGCGACTGGGCTCGGGGCTCTGATCTGGTGCAGCAGCCAGGGGACGGCATTGCAGGCCACTACCCCAGCTGTGCACAGCAACCAGGCTGAAGGCGCCCGGAAGCGGGGGCAAGCAGGTAGGCCGCCGGCCCCCGCGCTCACCCCAGCGTGCTAGTCTGGTCCGCCTCTGCCACCATGCCAAAGATGCTGGGCTTGCTGCTGCGCATGCTGCCCGCCAGCGCCGCCAGCAGCTGCTGCTTCAGTGCGGGCCACGCCTCGGGCGCCAGCTTCTTGCCCTCGCCGTCGGTCACCCGGAAAATGTCCCGCACGGGGCCCTCGCCCTCCCCCGTGTTGATGTTGGCTGAGGAAACTGCCACCCCCACCGCCGTCAGCACGTTTGTCACCTGCGCCAGTACCTCGGTGTCGTTGCGGCCAAACAGCTGCATCACGGTGCACTGTGGGTCTGCAGCCAGGCGGCCAGGCGCACGGCAGGCCGGCGGCGAGGCAGGTGGGAGCAGCGGCGAGGGAGCAGGGAGCAGCATGTGCAGTGTGGCCAGGCCAGAGGCCGAGAGGCGCAGCACATGCAGGACAACAGGCTGCCGCTCTGTCGCCGGCCCTCCCCAACAGCTCCCTGCCCACCCTGCCCCTGCCCCTGCCACCCTGCCCCTGCCCCTGCCACCCTGCCCCTGCCACCCTGCCCCTGACCCTCACCGCTGTCATTGTCAAACTCCACAGACACACTCTGGTCCTCCTCCTCCACGGCAGCCTCGGGTGCGGCTGGCGCCGCCGCTGACAGCATCACCATGCGCCGTGTGCGCGGCAGCTGGCCGCCGCCGCTGCCGGGTGTGGCCGCGGCCGCGGCCGTGGCGCTCTGCGCGTTGCCCATGCCGCCGCGCAGCAGCAGCCAGCGGCCGACGCCGCTGATGCTGCTGCCGAGAGTGGAGGGCGGCGCCAGGGTGCCGGCTGCGCCGCTGCCGCTGCCGAGCGCGCCGGCGCTAGGCCTGGCACTGGCACTGGCACGGCCGCGCCGCAAGGGCGGCCTCAGTGGGCCCGGGACCCCTCGCCTGAGGGCTGCGTGCGCCTGTGCCTGCCGCTGCTGGAATGTGTGCTGGGCGGCCGACGGCGGGCAAAGGTCAAGCCCCGAGCAGGGGCGGCTAGTTGACCTGCAGAAAGAGGCGGTGAGGTGGTGAGCTGTGGGGCGGCTGCTGACTGGACGACTGGCGGGCGGCGGCCATGCGGCGCCGGCGGCGTGCGTGTGTGCAGCCGCATGCAGGGGCCCGGCACGCTTGTTCAGGTCCCGGGAGCTGCCAGCTGCGCCTCTGGAACCCAGCGAAGCGCAGTCAGAGAGGGTGGCGCAGTGCCCTAGCGGTGACGGTCGGCAGCCGGGCGATGACTCGCCTGGCGGTGGTGCTCCCCGAAAGCTTTACCATTCTACGCTGCAGCACACCATGTCCTAGCCCGCTCATCAAGTGTGGTTGGCCCAGCTGCCCTCCTTGTGACAGGAGAGCAGTGGCAGCTGGCGGCCTGCCGCTACAGGGCAGGCTGATCGAGCGATCTGTGCGATGGAATGGCTTGCACCGATGCTGCTCACGAAAAAATGCTGAAACCGCTGACTTTCCAGTCCCGCCCCTCGAATCGTGCTGCGGGCCTCTGGCGGCCTGCATGCATGGTGGGCATTGCGCAACCCGAGGCTGCGATCCCAGACTCTCTTTCTAGGGTGTCTGACAGGCCTGGCACGCGACCCGCTGCTCGCCGAGACCCCCAAATTGCCGACCCCGTCTCGAAGCATTCTCCGCCCGCTCAGGCATGTCATCGGCTGCACTAATAGCGCAGGGGTTGGCTGCATTGCAGCCCATGGACGCCCACCTTGGCCCTGCCCACCCGCCGCCGCTGCCGCAGGTGCTGGCAGCCCGCCGCCGCCGCTGCTCGTCCCGACCAGCACTGCTCACGTGCCATGTCCGACGGCGGTAGTGGAAGAGGGCGGGGCAGGGGGTGGTATTACAAGCAGATGTATGGCGGAGGCGGAAGAGGAGGAGCGGGAAGAGGAGGCGGCGGCAGGCGGCATGAAGGTGGGGCAGCGCTCGCTGTGCGGCAACCAGGCGTTCCCCCCTGTGTGGCCCGTAGACTCACTGTGCCTGCGGCTTGCTGTTCGTGGCATGCAGAGGAGGGGGGCAGCCGCTACTCGGAGCAGGGGCAGGGCCAGCCGTACCAGCAGCACCAGGGGCGGGAGGAGGCGGATGTGGGCGGAGGCAGCGACGATGACGGGTACGGCGCAGGCCCCGCCTCCAACGCAGGTCAGGCAGCAGCGGTAGACGCTTGCCGCATCTCCATGCTGCATCGGGCTGTAGCTGCCATGCGCTGGCCTTGCTGCCATGGCGATCCTGCCCAATGCTGGCCGGCGCTGTGTGCAGGCAGCGCGTCAGACCTCGCGGCTGCTCTGCGCCGCATCGACGGCCGTGGCTACAAAGCATACAAGGTGTGGCGCACAACAGGAAGAAGGCGTTGTGCATCACTGGCAGGCAGCAGGGCAGCACGCCATGTTGGTGTGCTCTCGTGTTGTCCCGGGCCCCGAGGGCGGCGCTGCCTGTGTTGTGTGCAGGACATCGAGGGGCGGTGGCAGATGGGGGCGCAGCAGGGAGGCTACGTGCTGTGTGTGGACTGGGTGCAGGGAGACCCCTTTGCCAGCCCCAGCAGATGCAGGTGGGTGCGGGCAGGGAGTGAACACAGCCCATGTGCGGCGGGCAGCAATGCATCCTGTGCCGCCCGCAACGACTGCCCCTCCTGCTCCTCATGCCCATCACGTGATGTCTGCGGCCGTTGTTGTGTGGCGCTCGGCGCAGGGTTGTGGTCCCAGCCGGCACCGCGGCGCTGCCTCCGCAGCTCATCAGCAGCCGCACCCGCCGCACCGCCGTCTGCGACTTTCTTACCAGAAGCTTTGGGGCAGCGGTGGCCGCCTCGGGTGCGCCCTGCATGCCACGGCTGTTGTCGCTTGTTGCTGTTTGGAGGCGCGCCAGTGACAATGACAGTGCCTGCACCCACGTGACCACGCTCCCCCGCTGTGCTGCTGGCGTGAGCAGGCGGCGACATCAGACGGCAGAGCGGAGGGTGGAGCGGCGAGAAGGGCGGGGAAATGAGCGTGGATAAGCCAGGTTGGTGGGTGGGTGGATGGGTGGATGGCAAAGCCGGCACATATCTCCATTCACCACCTGCTTGCATTGCCTGCCTGGCCTGTCGCCTCTCTGTCCCTGCAGGCCAGCATGTGCTGGAGCGCACGTCGGTCCTGATCCATGCAGATGGCTCGGTGGAGGCGAGGTTCACAGGTGGGCTCCACAGGAGGTGCCTGCAGGGGGAGGCAGGCCAGGGGGCTGAGTAGCAGCAGGCAGATGGGAAGCCGCCTCCGCTGCATAGCTGCAGGGATGCTGGCTGAGCCTTCGCTTCCGCCCTGCTGACATGGGTCTGATACCCGCATGTGTGCAGTGGCACTGCCCGCTCGGGGGCGCACAGTGCTGGGTCAGTGGGCCTCCTCCATCCTCCTGCAGAACCTGCCGCTGTGAGCCTGCGCCCGGCTGCGTCGAAACGCACCCAGCCCATTCAACAGCGCCGAAACCGGCTGCCGATCTGCTGCTGACGCCCTCCCACCTCCCCACCCTGATCCCTGCTGCCACCCGCTGCCGCTTAATCGCAGGTATGTGCACTCGGGCCTGCTGTATGCCCAGCAGGACCGGCGCGCCCTGCAGGCGCACGTGGAGTGTGTGGAGGACACGCAGGCGCTGCGGGACCAGCTGCCGGCGCTGGGGCTGGTGGCGTTTGTGGGCGACGGCGCCATCCTGCCCAGGTGCGCCCTGCACACTGCTGTGCTGCGTACCACCTGGGCCGCCAGTGCCCGCGGGCCTACTCTGCCCCCTGCTGCCCCCAGTTGCCCCCTGTGCGCGTCCGCTGGCACCCAGCGACACTCCTGTGTCCCTGGCTGCAGGAAGAGCGGCGCCTGCGACGAGCCCATGCCTGCCGGCGAAGCTGTCCCCTTCCGCTCCCCAGACGCACTGGCAGCCACGGTGCAGCTGCCCAACCGTGGCGCCGTGCGGGGGCTGGGCATCAGGCGCGCCAGGCTGCTGGGCTGCCGTGCATGCTGGCTGCTGGGCTGCCTTGCTTGCTGGCATAGCGTTTCCCTGGTGGTGCCGTGGCTGTGCACCCGGCCCCACCCTGTGCTGTGCCGTGCCGTGCAGGCGTGGAGTAACGCTCATTGTGGGTGGCGGCTTCCATGGTGCGCGCCCCATGCTTTGACCTGCATGCCTGGCCAGCGACACATGCATGCTTGCTGTCGCCCCTGCTTTAGGCTCGGCCCTGCCCTGCTCACACGCTTGGTGGTTCCCTGCACCTGCAGGCAAGTCCACGCTGCTGGAGGCGATCGAAGCGGGGGTGTATAACAAGGCAGGTGGCGAGGTGTTGTGTGGTGGTGGTGGTGGTGGTGGTGGGCTGGGTGACGGCTCTGTGATGGTGCCTGTGTGAGGCTGCTGCCACCGTCATATGCCTCGCTGCAGCAGTGGTGGCCAGCTGGCCATGGCTTGCGACCCTCTCAGGCCTGGCTGCCCTCGGCGCCTCCTCCCTGCCTCTGCAGGTGGCGGGCGACGGGCGGGAGCTGGTGGCCACCGACCCCACCGCTGTCAAGATCCGGGCAGAGGATGGCAGGTGGGTGGGCGGGTGGTGCCTGCCCAGCTCCCTGGCTGCCATCCCATGCCGCTGGCTTGGTCCCGGCGGTGCTCGCATTCACGCCACCACGCACGGCATCCTCCCAGCCCCCAAGCCGGCTCCCACGACCCCGCTGCCCTGCCTGTGGCCCCGCAGGCGTGTGGAGGCAGTCAACATCTCGCCTTTCCTCTCCAATCTGCCCTTTGGCAAGGACACCACCTGCTTCCAGACGCCAGACGCCTCGGGCAGCACCTCCCAGGCACGCTCGGGTCTCGGCCTGCGGCTCCCTTCTCCACCGTGGCGCGCAGCAACCCTGCTGTTGCTGAAGCTATTCCTGTTCTTGTTGCTCACCCGTGTCTGCCTGTCTTCTGCCGCGTGCCCCCCCCCACCCCACACCCCACACCCCACACACACACCTTGTCACCACCTGTGGAGCAGGCAGCCAACATCCAGGAGGCGCTGGAGGCGGGGGCGGCCACGCTGCTGGTGGACGAGGTGAGGCGTGCATGTGCACAGATCGCCCTGTTGGCATGTGCGTGCCGCCGTACCTCGCCTCCAGCGCAGGAGCCCTGCTGCGCAGGCTCTGAGGGTGTCTAGCTTGAGGTCGCGTGGCTCCACCCTGGCCAGCTCCTCACCCCGGCCTGCCATGCCTCCCCGCCTCCCCTTCACCCTCCCTGCCCTGCAACCTGCCCTGCAACCTGCCCCGCCACCCGCAGGACACCACCGCCACCAACTTCATGGTGCGAGACGCACGCATGCTAGAGCTGGTGAGCGGCGAGCGCGAGCCCATCACGCCCTTCATCGTCAAGCTGCCCGCGCTGGCGGCGCGCGCCGTCTCCTGCATCCTCGTCATCGGCGGCAGCGGCCAGTACTTTGATGTGGCCGGTGGGTGGCGGGTGGCGCGTAGGGGATGGTGTTGGCGGTCGTGGTGTGTCGTGTGTGTGTGTGCGAGAGAGAGAGATAGTGGTATGTGTGTGCACACATGTGGGGCGGGGGCATCGGCAGGCCAGCCCCCGCAGGCTGGGATTGCTTGTTGGGCCAGAGCCACACTCTGCCTGCCACCCGCCTTGCCCCCTGCAGACACAGTGATATGCATGGACGCGTACGTTCCCTCCGATGTGACGGCGGCGGCGCTGGCCATCTCGGCGCGGCACGCCGGAAAGGGCGACAGCCTGCCGTGCCACACACACTATGGCGACGTCACGCCGCGCACGCTGGTCTCAGGTGCGACTGCGGGCCGGGCGGCCAGGGGCGCGCACAGGGCAGGGAGGGCAGGGCCTTGCTGCGGCACCAGCTCAGCCCCGCTGGCTGGCTGGCTGGCTGGCGGACACCCTGGCTGCTCCTGTGTTGAGGCTGGCAGGCGTGCCCGACGTGCCTGCTGCCCCCGCCAAGCGCTTGTGCAGTGCACCCGCGCCCGGTGGCGGCGCACGGCCGCGACCTGCGCCTCAAGACCCGCACCCTGCACTGCATCCAGCTGGACGACGAGGAGCTGGACCTCAGGTGGGGGCCCTGGGGGGTGGTAAGCTGCTGCTTGGCTGCCCTGTGGTGATGAGAGCACATTGGTGGGGAAATGGTCCAGGTGTGAGTTCGAGGGCGAAGGGAGAGCGTCCCCGAGAGTGCAGTTGTGTGCAGACTTGTTGCTTGCTTCCCCCTGCGCCGCGTGCCCGTGCACACACCGGGCGCAGCGCTGTGGAGCAGCTGGTGGAGGTGTCGCAGACGCGGGCCATCGCCGACGCGCTGGTCAAGCTGCGGCAGGGGCTGGCGGGGCGGGGCGGGGCCTGGCAGGGGCGCTCGCTGGCGCAGCTGCTGGATGCTCTGGATGCGGAGATGGATGAGCAGGCAAGTGGGTAGGAACGCAGTAGGAGGGAGTGGGGTGATGTTGACGGCAGAGGTCCCTGGCAAGTGGAGGGATGTAGCGAGGGGCCTGTGGGGGTTGGTCACAGGGCTGGCGGGTGCAGTACACTGCGTGCTGGCTGCCGCTGCCCTGCAGGGCGTGGATGCGCTGGCAGGGAGGTCCCACCCAGGCAACCTGGCGAGGCCGCGGCGCTTTGAGCTGGCCGCCGCCATCAACCGGCTGCGCAGTGCGCAGCTGCGGCAGCTGGCATGACGCTTGGGAGCACTGCCTCCTGGCAGACCAAACCTTTGCTTCTGACTTGACAACACTGATCAATGCACTCTTGAATCACAACACTGAGCCTGCTCAGGGATGATCCAAACACACGCTCTCACAACGCCCGCCACGCCCGCTCAGGTGCTGCTCCCCTGGTCGGGCAGCAGCGCCTCCGCCTCTGCCACCGTGGGCTGCGCCCCGATGGCGCCCGGCTTGGTGCACGTGAAGGCGCCGCAGGCGGTGGCAAACTCCACGCCGCGCCGCAGCTGCACGTTGGCACAGCAGCAGCAAGGACGGGGGTTGCATCGTGCGCGTGAGCGGCAGGGTTGGGTCCTGCCTAAAACAAGCAGGCCGTCCACAGGAAGCTGCCAGCACTGCCGGCAAAGCTTGGGGCCCTGCCGCGCCTCCCGGCCCGCACCTTTCCGGGGTCGGCCACAAGCGAGTCCAGCCCTCCGCTGAGCAGCATGTAGAAAATGAAGCCCGCCAGGTAGGCGTCTCCCGCCCCCGTCGTGTCCTTAACCGCAACATCCAGCACAGGCACCACGCCGCTCATGGCCAGCTTGCCGCCGGGCGCGTGGAAGGCATACCCGCTGCCCTTCTCCCCCGCTGCAGCCAGGGGGCGGCGCCAAACGCAACGGGCAGGGCGGGTTTGGACTCTGTGCATATGGCGACGACGACTGGAGTGGCGGTGAATAGGGCGTGGCAGTTTGAGCAGCCCAGCAGCCTGCACCCACCCGACACCAGCACGCCCCGCCAGCTGCCGCACTTCTCCAGCACGCGCTCAGGGTGCTCCAGCGCGTCGGCGGCAGGGATGCCATACAGCCACTCCGCCTCCTGCAGGCCCCTCAGGAAGGATGCGGCTCGGCTCGGCAAGGCAAGGCACAACAGATGGGCTGACAAACAGCCGCGGGGCGTGGCCGACAGGAGGCGCCATGCGGCACAGCCGGGCCCCCAGCATCCACGCAGCTCCGGCCGGCACTCGCCTCATCGGTGACCTTCAGAATGTCTGCCTGCTGGATGTACTGCAGCACAGCGGCCTTGGCAGCCGCCTCGTCGTCCCAGAACACGGGGCGCCAGTTGACGTCGATGATGACGCAGCAGCTGCCGCCCTGCAGAGGACGGGCGGGATGGAATTGCATGTGCCAGCCATCTATCCAGCCAGATGGATAGCAAAAACAGCTGTCGGCTGGTCGCAGAGGGCAGAGGAGAGCACCTCTTTCGCCGCCGTCACCGCCGTGCGCATGGCTTCCGCGGTGGAGCCGGCGGCCAGGCCGAGGGTGCCGGTCACCAGCACGTCTGCCCCCTGCATCCCTCAAACAGCAGCGCAACGATCAGCAGAAACCACAGCAAGCATGGCGTCATGCACCAAAACACTGCGTAAGCACAACCCATCCAGCAACTACACATGCGACAGCAGCAGTGCCCCAGCCGCGCCCCGCCTCCCAGCGCCACCCCCACCTTGATCTTATCTAGCGGTAGGGCCGCAGGGTCCAGGAAGCAATCTCCGTACTCGTGCGATTTTGCCTGCATGGCAGTAGACAGGGCAGTGCATGGCGGGATGGCCTCAACAACAGCGCAGGGCAGGCCACATGCAACTCCAGCCACACCGCGCCATGCCCGCCTGCTACCAGCCAGCCAGCTTGCCGCCCGCACCTTGCCAAACCCGGCAAACACGCGGTCGCCGTCGGGGCGGCGCGTCACCAGGATGTCTCGGGTGGGCTGCCCCACGCGCTGCACGCCGCTCGTGTCCACGCCGCGCTCTACGGGCCCAGGGGCAGGGGCACATCACATGCGCTGGTGTTGGCGGGGCCAGCGCCGCAAGCCAATGCACACACCCTCATAACAACGACGCGCCAGAAGCGTGCCAAGGGCCCACAACAGAACATCATCCCATCAATCTGCGGCCTCACCCTGCAGCAGCGCCACAAACTGGTCCCCCAGCTCATCCTGGCCGATGGCGGAGACAAAGAGGGCGCCGGCGCCCAGGCGCGCCACGCCGGTGGCGACGTTGGCGGGAGCGCCGCCAGGGTATGGCGTCCTGCGTATTTTTGGTCAGCAGGGGGAGGCGTGTGGGGGGTGCAAGGTGTGAAGGCAGCTGCGGCAGAACGAGCAGGATGACCTGGGCCACGACTAGGTGGGAATCTCTGGGAAGCTGCCCACAATCATGGAGTAGTGGGGGCAGCTAGCGAAACGTGGAGCAGAGAGCCTGGGCGGGGCTGGGCTCCTCACCAGGAGGTCACCTCCTCCTTGGGCTTGCCCAGCTGGTCCGCCAGGCAATCTGCATGCAGGCAGGGTGCGCCAGCCAGCTTTGGCCTGCAGAGCGACAGGCAAAGAGCGGCAGCGGGTGGCGGGTGCGGCGGCAGAGGCGGCCCTACCGTACAGCGCCTCCCCCACGGACACCACGTAGTGCCCTGCCATGGCCTCCTGTGCCGACATCGCAGCGGGGGCCACCAGGTGGGGCCTGGATCGCCTCCGGCTGCAGCTCCGAGCAAGGGGTGGTCGGCGGGGCCCGGGCAGTGCAGCGATGGGCCTAGGGCCTGCAAAGATTGCGGATGAAGCCATAATCGGCTCGATTCACGCGTTTTGAGGCACAGTGCCAGGCTGGGCGCGCAAGTGAACAGCTGCAGACGTGAAACGCAGCCGTGCACTGCCTCCACAACTGCTGTGAATAGCTGCTGAAACACCCAAGTTGGCCAGGCTTGCCACACATTTCTCTTGTCCTGCCGCCCTTGCCAGCTGAGCGGTGCACGCCGCTGCACGAGGTCGTTGCCCTAAAATCGAGTCCCCCCCTCTCCAGCAATGTGCTATCCACCAGGTGCTTGTAACATGCCAGCCAGATGCATCACTGAAGCTTCACTTGCTGATGTACGACCCCTGATGCCGCTGCTGCTGTGCCGCCGCCCGACGCCGCTGCCCCTGGGCGCGGCTCGCCGGCCTCCAGCAGCAGCCCCTCCACCAGTTCCACCGCCTGCTCCAGCTGCTCCACATACGCCAGGAACTCGGGGTCCGCACGGGCAGCCTACATGGAGCACGGATTTCATGCAAGCGCTCGCCAAGCTGTGCGGCATTGCGCAGCGAAGCAGGCGGCAGATGGGGCCCTCGGTCGAGAGCACAGCTGTATCCAAGCATGAATCCCTGGGCTGACAGCAGCTTTGCGCTAACAGAGTCTTAATCTTACCTGCAGGGAGGCCACCAGGCTGGCCTCGTCCTGGAAGCCAAACATGGCGCTCGCCCTGGACGCTCCCCCTGCTTCAGCGGCGTCCGCTGCCTCTTCCTCCACCCCTGAGCTGCCGCCGCGCACCGGGCCGTGCCCCTGCTGCTGCTCCTCGTGCTGCCTCATTGCTGCTGCCGGGGCAGGGGCGGCCATGGGCGCTGGAGGCGGCGCTGGTTGCACCACTTGCAGGCTGCCTTGGTGGATGGCCAGCAGCAGCGCGCCGCACTCCCTGCCCGCCTGAGCAGTGTCAAACCGCACAGCGATGGTGAAGGTTCGCTGCGAGCAGCCACTCGGCGCGCTGGCGCTGCTGGCGCTGACTGCCAGCGTGAGCAGCAGCAGGTGGCCGATGGTGTTGGGACCTGGTGCCCCCGCGGCAGCCGCGGCGGTGTGCTGCGGGCACAGCAGCTTGAAGGCAAACGCGCCAGGCATCAGGGGCGCACTGAGGAGCTCCCCCGAGCTCCGCAGCGTGCACACCAGCAGTGGCGGCGCCCCGGCAGGGCGCCACTGCACCGTCAGCACGCCGCTCGCGTCGCTGCGCAGCCAGACGCCCCGGCTGCTCGATTTTAGGGGCGGCAGGCCGGCGCCGGCCAGCTGCGGCTGCGGAAGCTGCGCAGGGAAGGGGGCCCAGGCTGCCATGGAGCCAGTCCAGCAGGAGTCGTGGGGCAGGTCGAGCACACGCGGCGCCATCGCTGGGACAGATCCTCAGTGATGCCGTAAAAGCTGTGGGGCATCTGCATAAGGCTGCGGAGCTGCAGGGAGGCTGCAGGCCTTGCTGGCAAACTGCGCCTCCAGGTCGGAATCGAACGGTCCATGAAGGCATGCAGCCCCGCTTTTCGGCAGAGCGCAATTTGGCTGAGCTTGTAGCAGTGTCATCGCCCCTTTCTGTCGCTGCAACCAGCCAGAGATCAGCAGGTTTTTCCCTGCCCCGCCATCGCCCTCGGCCGCCGCTCCGTCGTGCCCGAAGCGTGCCATCCCCATCCCCAGCTCCCGTGATCGGTCCCGCATTCTGAACACCCCAGCCAAGCGTGCTGACGTCGCGATAATGCGCGGCTACCTCACCAGCCGTGGGCTGGAAGGGTTGAAAAGCTACCAGTACAAGCCGAGCGGCTACACTATATTGGATGAGCTGCACCAGCCGGTCTGGAACTGTGAGTGCACGTGGCCATGGCGGCGCACCCGCCCGAACGGCGGCGGTTCAAACCCTCAACCTGCTGCACTTGGCTGCACAGGCTGGCATCGGCTCTGCACTGCATGCCAGATGCGCTGGAAACAGTCTCCCACCTTGCTCGGTGTTCCTTAGTGTTGTGTTGACTTTGCATCTCGCCCGCCCTCCTCCTGCCGTCCTGCAGACATCACCAACAACTGGCTGCCGATGTGGCTGGCGCCCAACCTGATCACCCTGCTTGGCCTCTTTGCGCTGCTGCTATCCTACGTCGTGGCTGCGGTGCACCTGCCCGAGTTTGCCGGCACCGCGCCGCTCTGGCTCTACTTCTCCAGGTTTGCGGCTGGCCCTTCCACCTGCCCTAGATGAACATGTCCAACCCTGCCTCTCTGCTTACAATCGTCCTAATCACCACCACACACCACATCATCACCACCTGCCGCAGCGCCTTTGCCGTCTTCTTCTACCTCCACATGGACTGCCTGGACGGCAAGCAGGCGCGACGCACCAAGAACAGCTCGCCCCTGGGGCAGCTGTTCGACCACGGTGCGCTGGCAAGGGAGGAGGACCACCCAGCTGGCAGCGACCCTGCCGCTATGCCGTGCCAGCCCGATGTCCACACTCCTGCCTTGTGACGCCGGCACGTCGGGCACCACCCCTGCAGGCTGCGACGCGCTGGCTGTGCACCTGGTGCTGATGAACGTGGCCTGCTCCCTCAACGTGCCCATGGGCTGGCGCATGATCTCTGGCACTTACTGTGTGATGGTGCCCTGGATTATGGCGCACTGGGAGGAATACCACACAGGTCAGGGTCCTCTGCTGGACGACAGTGGGACTCTGCGGCAAAGCTGGCTGCTTATGCTGGCATGCAGGGTGGCAGCGGGGTGTTTGCTGGCTGTTGCTGGCTTCCAACTGGCGGCCTCGCTGTGCCCGCAGGCACCATGGTGTATGGCAACGGGTACATGGGCGTGACAGAGGCAAACTATTCGGTGGTGATGATGCACCTCATCACCTGCGCCATCAGGCAAGCAGCATTGCTCGGTGACTTGTTGCCTGGGTGCCCAGGCTGCTGCGGCTGCTGTGGTGCGCAATTGTGCGTATGGCAGATGTTGTTTTGCTGCAGTGCCATCCCTCTGTCACGTCCTTGCACTCCCCTTCCTCTCCCCTTCCTCGTCAGCAGGCCGCAGACGTGGCTGGTGCACCCTTTTGCAGCGCTCATGAGCAGCAGCGTGGCGCAGGCGCTGCTGCCGGGCTTTGTGACCAAGCTGGTATCACAGATTCAGGTGCGGAGACGGGGGCCCGACTGCTGGCGTGCAGTCCTGCACATACCCCAGCAAGCTGTGTGCACCCCTATCGCCTGCCACACAGCCATACCCACTTTGCCTCCACCCTGCCCCTCCCCCTCTCTCCCCCGCAGCTCAACGACCTTGCGGTGCTGTGGATTTCCTCCATGGCGGTGATGCTGCTGTGCCAGCAGGTGGAGCGCGTGTTCAGGCTGTCGGGCACCCAGCAGGTGTGAGGCGCTCCCAAACTGGAGGCTCCCGGCAGCGCGTCACCCTGCATGCGCATGTGCGTGCCTCTGATGCTGCTCCTGGCCTGTTGGCTGCAGCTGGAGCACACCACGCTGCCCAAGCGGGAGCAGGGGCACAAGCAGCTGGGCAAGCAGCACGCGGCATCGCACCTGCTGCAGGTGCGCTGGCGTGCACACCGATCCCATCTCTCGACAGCACTGTGGGGCGCGGCGCTCGCCCAGCTATCTCGCCTGCTCATCAAGCGCCCTCCCCCGCTGCCCACCCTTCTGCTGCAGCTTCTACTGATGTTCGCGCTGGGCGGCATGCTGCTCATGCTGCCGCACCCTGCGCCCGGCCAGGGGAGGGTGGTGATGGGCACGTTTGGGGTCATCTATGCAATGCAGGTGACGCTCACACCTGCAACTAACTTAGCCTCTTCCCGCCGCCCAGCTTCCAGCTCCCGCTGTCTGCATGTTGTTTGTGGCGCTGTCCAGCTCCTGCTGCCTGCCCCTCCACCCCTGCCCCCACCCTGGCCCCGGCCCGCAGGCCACCAAGCTGATCATGGCTCACATGTCCAAGGAGCCGTTTGAGGTCGCCGCCTGGCCGCTGGTGGCCATGGCAGCGCAGGTGGGCAGGCGGCACGCCGGTAGCCCGCCGCAGGGCGGCTGCGGGCGCAGCACAGGCCCTAAAGTCCCTACCCCCACCCTGCGCCCTTCTCTCCCTCCTCCAAACCCTGCGATGCAGATTGCCAACCACTTCCTGGGGTGGCTGGACCCAGTGCTGCTGGGCTACAGCGTGAATGCGGGTGGGCCGCCCCCGCTGCTGATCCTGCTGCTACTGCATCCTGCTTGTACTGCCACCTGTGCACAGAGCTGCCAACGTCTGTGGTGGTAATTGCTGCCTGCCTGCCACTCTTGCCTGCCCGCAGTGGTGGTGGCGGGTTACCTGCACTACGTGATCAGCATGATCAACGAAATCTGCGCCTTCCTCAAGATCCCTTGCCTGACCGTCCGCAAGGTGGATTGAGGCCGAGGAGCAGGGGACCATGCCCTTTGCTGTTTATTCTTTGGGCCTTGAGCCACGCTGCAAGCCGGCCCTGTGGCGTTTTTGACGTGCGGTTTGCATGACGTTTCCTTCGTACTGGTCCGTCCAAATGGTTCGTTGCAAATATACATCCCCTTTTCCAGGCAGCCTCTTGCTCCCGGCCTGAGGGCCTGCCCAGCCCACTGTCCCAATTGCCGCCCAGCACTGCCCTCTATTTCCGCGTGCCATCAGCTTCAGCTCGATGCCCCGTGATCTTTTGGACGGGAGATGCATAGCATCCCTTTTTTTGTTTGATTTGTTGTCCTGCCAGATTTCCTGGAATCAACCAACCCAGACCAGCTTGGGCACGAGCAAGAGGTGAAGAGGTGGCGCCGAGCAGGCGGCCGCGCCAGCGGCGCTGCTCCCAGGTGGCTCCTGCTCATTGCACGGCCCTTTGGTGCTAATTCACATCTCATGCCAATCTTCTCCTTCTTTGAGGCCGGCAAAGCAACCCGAGGCGGCCACGGGCACACACATGTGTGTCGGATGGGAGAGCGAACGAGCGCCATTGACCGTGTGGGGTCGCACAACAATTCAAGCAAGTCCCGTAGAACCAGATCAAGCGCCTAAAACAGAGTTGCAGCGCCGAATTTCAGCGCGCACGGCAACCAAGCACAGCACGCAGCACCAAGCAGGCACTGTTGTTCTGGACCTGAGACACCTTCGGCTGCCGCGCACTCTGCAATTTCCATACCTTACTGGTGCCATCAGCAGCAGAACAGCACCGCGCCTCGCATCCAGCATCGCCACCCCCCGCAGGGGCCCTTTGCTAACTCTCCCCCGACCACTCCAAATCAAAGACACACCATGGCTGCTAAGATTAAGCGGGCGCTGAGGGTCTGGAACAGCGTCGAGGATTTTCAGGAGGTACATCAGATTAGCCCTCCCGCCCCCTCCACACGCCGTTCTGCCGCTCACCCAGTTGCCAGTGTGGCTGAAAATCGCCGGGAAACCGGCGGGCAGCCGCGCCCGACGCCCCGGCACGACGCACGGGCCTGTGAGGCGGGGCGGGAGGGGCTGGCGGCCCGCCCGTGCACGCACCCCTCGCTCACACCAGGTTTCGCCCCTCCCTGCCCTCTCCACTGCAGGGTGAGGAGTGGCAGGAGGCCCTGGATGCGCTGGAGTCTGTGACCGGCCAGGTGGGGCCCAGCGCCTGCAATTCCAGTGCCGTGCCGTGCCGCCCTCCTTGCACCGCGGCTCCAGCCCACCGCCCCGCACGCCCCGCCGCGCCCTGGCCCCACACACCTCCGCCCGCCTCCACCTGCCTGCCGCTCCCGCCCTTGCCTCTCCGCCGCAGGTGTCTGGCGACCCCAAGGGATTTGACCTGACCGGAGACGGCGAGCGCTGGGAGGCGGCGGGCGGCGACGAGATCAGCGAGGCCGCCGAGTTCCCCACAGTGAGACGCCGCGCCGCGCCCGCGCTGCTGCCGGCCGAGCAGAGCGCCGGGGGCAGCAGCCGCCACGACGCCGCGGCGTCTGCCCTCTGCCTCTGCCGCGTCGGCATCGACTCACCCCCAGCCCGCTCCCTTGGGCTTGGGCCTTGGGCCGCCTGTCCGCGTCGCTCACCCGCTCGCTCGCGCCGCCTTGGCCCCGCCGCCGCCTCCTGCCCCGCCCCCGCAGGTTCTGTACGAGAAGTGGGTGGAGGTGCTGGGCCAGGCGGCCGAAAACCTGGAGTGGGAGCCCGCGCAGGTGGGGCTTTGGCGCAGCTGCTGCTCCGCGCCGCCAACCCTCTTTTGCGTCTCGCCGCCTCGCCTGCCTCCTCCCTGGGCCCTGGCCCATCACGCCTCACGTGCTTCGCGCAGCCTCCCCGGGCCGCTCATCCACCCCTCCCCGCCCACCTTCCCTCCCTTGCGTCGTGGCGCCCATGCATGCTGCAGTGGGAGGCGCTGTGGAAGAATCTGCAGAAGTGGGGGCGCGCCCTGACCCGCGCCGGCCTCGACTTTGGCTCCGACACCGGCATGGCCGAGCTGCAGGACATCAGTGAGTAAAAATAATAAGGAGGGGGCTCTGGGCTGCCTCTGGGAGGGGCGGGGCGGGGCGGGAGCTCAACCGCTGGCCTGCCTGCCCTCTTGAGGTGGATGCTGCGAGGTGCGGCGGGTGCTGCGCTGAGCCGGGGGAGCTCCTCCCTGGCTGGTGCCTGCGCTGCCAGCCCAGCGGCCTGCCCCCCAACCGCCCGCGCCCTGTGCTGCCACCCCGCGCAGTCGAGACGTACGCCAGCGGCGCGCCCAAGCAGCGCAAGCGCAAGGCGCCGGTGGAGGAGCCGGCGGAGGAGGCCGAGGAGGAGGAGCCTGGGGCCAAGAAGGCAAAGGACAACGAGTGAGGCGGAGGCCGCAGCTGGGAGTCTGCCAGGCGCTGCCCGGTGCTATGCCAGGCGCTGCCCGCTGCGGCCTGGCGCCCAGCACCCTTCCCCGCACAAGGCCGGCGGCAGGCCCGCACAAACGCTGGGCGGTTGAGTCATTGAACTGTCCGTTGTTTGCTCTGGCTGGCAGCAACACTGTTGCACTGGAGCCCCGTTGCCTTCTGAATTCAACTCTCTTGACACGATGCCCACACCATACCGCTGACACTGCCCACGCTCACGGGCTCTGACTGAAAACACCGCCCATGCCTTCTGGCATTCATGTGACCAGACACTTTGCTGCTGCACTTTCGCTGTTTTGTTGCAAGCCTCGTTTCCATTTAAACACACATTTGGGGAAGTCTGCCAAGGAGGAACGGAGATGGGCAGCCCAGTGGCTGATGGCACAGAAAAACTGGGGTGTGGCAGAAAAGCAGGCATGACAAAGCTGCTGGTGGGATGAAATGCTGCCATATACAGGCTGGCATGTCGGTAGTCAAAACAAGTAGGCGCCCCAAGGGTTTGCAAGTGGGCGCGGGTATTCGAGAGCTAGAAGGTGGGTCAGTTCGATGGCGCCAAGGGATGGGCGTCACGGCGCGCCGCCGGTCAACGAGGCGTGGGCCAGCAGCCCGGCCGCCATCATCTCCAGCTGCTCCTCCCCCACCAGCCCCCCCAGGAACTGCAGCACGGCGCAGCAGGCCAGCGACAGCAGCATGGCGCTGCGCAGCGAGTCGGCAAACTCCTCCATGTCGCGCCCCCGGTCTCGCCGCGCCGCGGTGCTGCTGCGGAAGCTGTACATGTCGAGATAGCTGGCGTAGAAGGTGCGCCACACGAGCATGAGGCCTGCAGAGGGTGGGGAGCGCGCCCAAAAACTCACCCGCGGCCCTGCTGCTGCTGCTGCAGCTGCTGCGCATGGTCTGGTCACAGACACCACCCCTGTGAGGCCAGCGGCCCTGCCTGGTTGCCAGGCATTGCGCCTGCTGCTCACCAAGCACGCCCGCTGCCGTGACAAAGGGCTCGCCAGCCCCGGTGGCCGCCAGGGGCAGCTTGGAAGCAAAGCCTTCGTCGCCAACCAGCGCCTCGCCCTCGGCTGCCGTCAGCAGCACCAGCTGAGCCGCGGCGACTGGCATGCTGATGAGCCACATGAAGCAGGTGCGGCTGCGAACAGGGAAGGGAACAGGTGTAGTGTAAAAAGTTAGTTGCTGGTGAGCTGCCTGCAGGCCTCCTACAGCAGGCAGGTTGGCAGGCAAGCAAGACTGACCGCAGCGCCGCCTGCACATCTGCCGTGGCGGCAAACCGGTAGCCGCCAGTGAGCATGCCTGCAGCACAGCAGCCTGGGTTGGGGCATGTAGGCTAGGCATGCACTTGCTTGCTCGCCTCACCCCCACACTTACCCGAGGCAACCCAGGTGCCGATCAGAGTGACAGCAAAGCTGAAAAACTCCAAAAAACGCACGGGATTGAAGGCCAGCGGCGCAAGCCACCCTGGGAAACTTGGAAGGAAGATAAGAGCTGTGATCTGCAGGCAGGGAAAATGAGCTTGAAGCGGCAGCATCAGCATGAGTGCACGTCTTTGGCGGGGCAGCGCATGCCAGCATCAACTGGGGCTGCTGAGCCGACCCTCACCTGCTTGTACAGCGCAAAACACAGCAGGCACAGGCAGTCGCCGATCAGGACCTCGAAATTTTGAATGCTCTCCTTCTCCCCTCCACCACCGTTGCCCTTCTTCCTGTCCTTCTCCCCTCCACTACCGTTGCCCTTCTGCTGCTGGCAGTAAGCTACACGCCGCTGGCGTTGCTGGCGTGCGTGCCGCGGCACCCATGTTACTGCTGCTGCTGCTCCTAGACTGCTACCTACACCTCGCATCGTCCAATAAGTCACCATGGTGCTGCTAGCATGCAAGCAGTGGCCATGGGCAGCCGTGAGAAAACTGCAGCTGCTTGCTTGCGGGCGGGGCGTAGCTGCCGCTGCCGTCGGTGCTGCCCGGCGCCCAGCAGGCGCGCCGCCGCTGGCAGGCCTGCTGCTGCTGGGCGCAGTGGCTAGCATGATTTCCTTGCTGCGACCGAGAGGTGAAAGCCTCAGTTGGACGTCCAACAAGGCAGGGCCCGGCTGGAAGGCTCTCGATCAGGTCCGGTTCGCAAACCAATGGCCCGATGCATCGTGGCCCTCCCTGACGGCTGTGCTCTATATCCAGCTCATTGCTTTCCAGGAGCGCAGCATGCCCCGCATACTGCTGAGTTTTAGCATGAATAGCGTGCCCCACAGCAATCCCGCTAGATGATCGACGCCAAGTATCACATGCACTTCCGGTTTTGCTCTCAAAGGTCGATATGCAAGCGGTAGCAAGAAACGGGAGGGGCGCCCAGGCTGCTCTGCAGCAGGCCGGCCGCATGCTGTACAGCAGCAGCGCAGCGATGAGACAGGGGCACGATATCACGGAGAGATGGCGGCCCAAGAGCCGTGCGGAGAAGAAGCAGGACTCATACACACCCTGGGCCCGGGAGGTCTACGGCAAGAGGCCTCCCCGCAACCAGGGAGACGGCGTGCAGCAGCAGGCGCAGCAGCAGCAAGGCAGCGATGACCGGCCGCGGCGCAGTCTGGACTGGCGGCCGCGCGCAGCGGCGGGGGACGCGGAACTTCGCATAAACTATGCCGACGCTTCCACAGCCATGATGGACGGCGCTGAGTAAGCTGCCGGCGCTCAGCTCTACCTGCCCATGGCCCAGGCGCACCATCCGCGGTCGGGCGCCGCCGCTGCCCTCACCCCGCCCTTTCCGCCCCGGCCCCAACCGCGCAGTTACGTCCGCGTGGCTCCCAAGCACGAGCAGCGGTCGGGGCTCATGTGGCCGGCCTACATCTACAATGTGAGCCAGAGCCTGCTGCGCCAGGACATTGCCGCCTTCTTTGACGGCTACAATCTGCCTGAGGAGGAGATCAGGTGGGTGGGCCTGGCTCAGCCCTGGTGGCACATCCCTCCGTGTGCACAGGCCGGCCAGCGCTGGGAGCAGGCAGAAGCGGCATGGGTGGCGCAAAGGTGGCGCACGCGGTCGGGCGCCGCCAGGCGCCCGTGCCTCGCCCGGGGGCAGCCTTGAGGCATGGCTGCCTCCCTTCCGCCACTCTCATCACCTTCCAGCCTGCTTGGGTGCCGGTCCTGCCTCAGGCCCGAGTTCTCATGGAAGCACTTTGCTGTGGAGCGGTTCTGGGTCAACTTTGGGAGCCCGGTGGATCGGGAGCGTGCCATGAGCCGCCACATGGCCTACCTGGTGAGCCGGTTATGCCGCCCTGTGCATCGATGGCGGCGATGATGTGCGGCGATGCAAGGTTGGAGGGCCTGCCTGCCATCGCCGCCTCGGCCGCACCTCGCTTTGCCGCTGCTCACCCTCCGCAACCCCGCGCGTGCAGGGCACGCGGCGCGTGCTCATGCGCAAGGCGACCGCGACGGAGTTTGGCGCGGGCGTGTACAACCCTCTGGCCATGAGCAGCCGGGGGCGGTACGTTCTGGTGGAGAACCTGGCGCCCACCACCACCTCGGGTGCGCACCCAGCAGGACGCTGTGCTGCGGGGCCTTCCGCAGCCGGGCTGGTGTCCAGAGGCAGCTGCCGTAGGCACCGTGCCCCTGCTGCAGCGCTCATCGTAGACTGCAGGCCTGCCTGCCTGCCGCCGCCCATGACCGACACTGTAGTACTGAATGGTACTGCCTGGTGCTCCTGGTACCGCAGAGGATGTGATCCGCTTCTTCCAGGGCTATGACCTGCATGCCAAGTCGGTCACCTTCCTGCGGGAGAATGAGAAGGCGAAGGTGGGCGGGGCGGGTGTGGCCAGGTGGAGCTGAAACTGGAACTGCCGCATGACTTGCCATTGCCCAGTGCCGGCAGCAGGCAGTACCAGCCTGGCACCAGCGCTTTCTGTGCACTAGCCTGCCACCTCCTCCTCCTCCGCTGCCATGTGCCTTGATGGCTGCTGGCCCGTGCTGCCACTGCAGCTGTCCGAGGCTGGTCTGCAACACCCAAAGGCCCGGCTCCAGCCGGAGAAGGCCGTGGTGCGGTTCACAAGTCCGCTGGAGGCGCACCGCGCGGTGCGCGACCGCCAGGCCGGCTTCTGCGGCAACAATGCGCTGCGGCTACGTGTGCTGCAGTGACGGCGAGGCGGCGCTGCGGCAGCGTTACAATCTGGGGTGCCACAAATGTTGCCTGCGGTGCAATACAAAGCACATGGGCATGGCATTATCCGGTGCAGCTATAAGAAACCAACATTCGCTAGGGCTAGAAGAACTAGGGAGAGCAAGGGGGAGAGAGCCGCCACGCGCTCTGTGTGTGGGGCAGCAGGCAAGCAAGGCAGAGGCAATCAAGGCAGAGGAAGATGCTGGCGCAATGGGAAAAAGGAAGGAAAATGGGTGGTGGTACAGTGCAGGAAAGGCCCGCCTCGTGCTTGCCGTGTAGGCAGGCAGCAAAAAACCACAGGTTAGGGTACAAGAGACAGGACAGAGGGAGCTCAATGGCCAGAGAGAGTTGGAGAGGTCAGAACTAGGAGGCAGACAAGTGGTACATTGGGAGCAAGGGCGTGTGTTTGGCGTGGTGCACTCTGTACATGTACAGTGTAGGCGGCGGGACGGGCCATGATCTGACGGAGGCTGGGGCCGACCCGCCTGCCCCGTGGCAGCGGCTCGGGGTCCGGGAACGGCAGCCCCGCCCCTCACATGATCTCCTCAAACGCCATGGGCTTACTGCACACGGGGCACGTCTCCGACCGCTCCAGCCACTCGTAGAGGCAGGGCAGGTGGAAGTGGTGGTTGCAGCGGGTGAGCACCTTGGGGTTGTCCTCTGCGGCGCGGCAGCAGGGAGGCAAGCAGGCAGGGGAGGGTTCAGCTGAAGGGGCGGAGGAGGCAGCAGGGGGAGAGGGAGCTGCGGCTGGTGCAGCTGCTGCTCACGAGCGGGGCGGGCCATGCGACCCACGTGTGCGGCTTTCCTGCCAGGCACGATGCGGGGCGGCCATGCGTCGCTGGCCGCTGCGGCGGCGGTCTGTTGGAGCCAATCTGCCATGCATGCCATGCCAACAGGTGCACACAGAGGTGGGGCCACCGACCTGTGTAGGGGTCCAAACAGGTGGGGCAGATGTCTTCATCTTCTACCAGCGGCAGCCCTCCCTGGCCCTCGACCTCGCCCTTGCCGCTGCCGGCAGCTTTGGGGGAGCCGCCACCGCCGGGGCTGCTGGCGCTGCTGGCGCTGCCGCTGTGCCGCGAGGCATCTGAGCTGCGGCGCTTGTGCCGCCGCGTGGCCGCCGGGAAAAAGGGCGGCGGCATGGGCGGCGAAGCTGCCGGCTGCAGGCTGCCACGGCTGGAGGAGGAGGGGCCTTGGCCCTTGAGCAGCGGGCCCCGCTCGCTGGCGCCGACCATGGGCAGGCGGGGAGGCGAGGCGGCCGACGCCTCGATCCCAAGCGAAGACGCCTCCTGGTGCACGCTGAGCAGCCGCTGCCCGCCCTCACTGGAGGGCAGAGAGGTGAAGGGCACGCATTTCAGAACGGTTTCCTGGGCAGCCCGCTACGTTGTAGGCAACAGAGATTGAAGAGGCTGCAGGCGGTGGGAGGCGGGAGGCGGCGGACTGGTGGAACCCCAGCTGCTCCACTTCCGCCCGCTCGCAGCTTACCCGCTGATGTCGGTGGGGTCCAGGCAGCACATGCATCGCACGAGGGCGCCCAGGCAAGAGAGGCAGGCTCCCAGCAGGGAGACCTCCCTCTGTGGAGCCTCCCGCAGCCGTGTGGGCTCAAACATTGGGACAGGGACGCTCAGGCCCGCCTTGTAAAGCTGTGATACAAGCAAGCAGTCAGGGGGGAGGGCCTCAGGGCTCCACAACGCGCTGGCTATCTCAAGACCCTCACGAGGCTTCCGACTGTGCAGCAGGAGTGAGCACTGAGTCTTGCTGAGTGTCCACAATGGCGTGGAGGGCTCTGAGCATTCTCAACAGGGCCCCCTGTGCTAGGCCCTGCTGTGCCGCCGCCGCCAGCTGGTATACAACAGCCACAATGGCGCGGCCTGGAGCGGCTTTATGAAAGCTCGCCTGGCTCTGTCGCTTGCTTCTTGGCATCCTATCCTCTGAGCTTCGACCTACCAATAGTTGGTTGACGCAGAATGGCACACCAAGTGCAAGTATCGAGATTACCAGCTGCTGCGGCTGAGGGTGAGTTATCAGCAGCAGGGTTGCGGGCCGCTGCCTCCTTCGGGAGGTGCGGCGGGGCGGGGGGCGGGGGTTGGCGGCTGCAGGGCTGCGACAGGTGGCGGCGGCTGGGCAGCGGGTGTGCGTGTCAGCCCCGGCCGCCGTCTCTGAACAAGGAGACAGGCAGCACAGCATCAAGTATAACATCAGCGGCGGTGGCTACTTGATGTGCCACTCTTGCCCCACTGTTGGACGCCCTCCCGCTTGCCTGTGCGCAGCAGAGCCTGTGCCAAAGCAGACGTGGGCACAGGCCAACCCCGTGGTGGCCAGCTTTGCCGCCAGCGGAGCGAGCGTTGGCACAGGCAAGCAGCAGCCTACTTGCTGGGAAGGGGGGTACGGCCACATAGCATCCAGCCAGCCTTTGCCGGTCAAGCCCGGGGAAGCAGAGTGACCGGCTGTGGCTGTCCTACGCTTCCTCTTGCTCCCTGTGAAGGCATCCCCTCACCGTCCTGCCCCTGAACCCTCCCATCACGCCCGATTTCAGGGGTGGTGCTGACCAACTGGGTGGACGTCATCAAGGTGCGGCAGCAGCTGGCAGGCCCCGCGGCACGCAACCTGGCGGCCACCGGGTGGCAGATTGTGCGGCGGGAGGGACCGCTGGCGCTGGGCCAGGGCATCACGCCCGCCGTGGCGCGGGGCGTGCTGTACGGAGGTGAGGCGGCGGCGGCGGTGCTGTTGCGGTGCCAGGCCCCGCGAATGCAAGCCCAGCCGGCGAGCGTGTGCTCCATATGCGGGCCCTGGCAGATGCTGGGCGGGTGCCAACTCACTGGCACGAGTGAGTGGAGGGGAGTCAGACTTAAGGTTGCTTGCGCCCTTGTGCCCGCTTGATGGCGGCGCCGGCCCCCGTCCCGCTGCCGCAGGGCTGCGCATCGGCCTGTACACCCCCATGAAGTCGCTGCTGGGGGCGGAGGGCAAGGACAGCGGCATTGCGGCCAAGGTGGCGGCGGGCATGCTGAGCGGCGCGCTGGCGGCGGGCATCTCCAACCCCACTGACCTCGTCAAGACACACATGCAGAAGGGCGGCGGCTCGGCGGGCGGCCCCTTCACCGTCATGGCGAGGGTGGTGCGCAGCGAGGGCGTGCGCGGCCTGTGGGTGGGCACCACGCCCAGCATGGTGAGCGCCGCAGCTGGGCTGGAGTGCGGCTGAGGGCCAGCAGGGGGTGTGGCGCTGGGCAGGCATGGGATGAGGGCCCCTCACGCGTGTGTGTGGCCTGGGATGGCATGAGCTGGGTGGTCTCGACTTGCTGCGTGCTGTCTTGGCGGTGCAGGCACGCGCGGCGCTGCTGACGGCATCGCAGTGCGCCACCTATGATGAGCTCAAGCTGTTCTTTGTGCGGCAGCTGGGATGGGAGGACAACCTGCAGACCCACTTTGCAGGTACGACCGCCCTGATACTTGTCTTGCGTTTTCGCTGCATCTGCGCTGTGCTCAAGCGCAGCATGAGCCGTGACTAACTGCGTGTGCTACGCTGCTGTGCACCTGAGCCTGAGCCTGCTGCCCCGTGTGTGCAGTCAGCGGGCTGGCGGGGCTTGTGACCACCACGGTGACGGCACCGGTGGATATGATCAAGACCAACCTTTTTGTGAATAGGCAGCTCTACACCACTCCTGCGCAGTGCTTGCAGCACATCCTGCGGGAGCAGGGCGTACGGGGCTTCTTCCGCGGCTGGGGCGCGATGTGGGCACGGCAGGGACCCATGACCACCTGCATATTCGTAATTAATGAGTGGCTGCGGGGGTCCATGGGCCTGGCCACCCTTTGACGAGCCTGACTATCTTCCGTTGACCAGTTATGACGCTGCGCAGCCGCCTGTGGCATTGTGCCGCGTTTGGAATCTGTTGCCGCTCCACGTCTCAACCGACCACTTGCCAACATTTTGTTTTTACCTTCTGTCTGTCCTGTGCCCTCTGATACCCAGCACACACCCTGTCACGACATTACCTGATTTCAAGTGTTGCCTAGCTCCAGTATTTGTGGTGGAGGGTCGGCGGGGCGGCACTCCAATCCTTGGGTGGTGGGGAGCGCCCGCCACCCCTGGCTACCTGCCCGTCATCTTCAGATCTTGCCCCGGCAATACATGCATTCCCCAATCGCTTACTTTGACCCCCATCGCCCTGTGCTGCGGCTTGGAACGGGGAAGGGCCAGCCTGGAGGTCTGCCTCAGTCCCAGTTGGCAGCCGGAAGAACTACCGCAGGAGGCCTGTGCATTCATCTGCATCCGTCACACAGCAACACACCACGCTGCAGCGTCCAGGGGAGCCCACGGCACAAAGCAGCCCGCCCCGCTCGGCCTGATGAGTGCCCCACGGACACCGCTCTCTTCATGGACTTCTTCTTAGAGGCATCCATGCTGGGGTGAGCCCCCCAGGGCTGCCGGGAGGCTGCGATCACTCTGTGTTGTGAGGGTTGGAGGCAGGCTCGGTCCAAGCGCCCATCTCCGGCATGCCTGCTGCAGGGGGTGGGACGGCGTGGCCTTACGGCTCGTGGGAGCTGCCGCGCTGGCGGCAGGGCTCCACGCTTGGCGCCAGGTGCACCGTGCGCGAGCACGCACCGGCTTACAGGGCGGAGGACAAGGGGCAGAGGTGGGTGGGCCGGCTGCCGCGCCGTGCAGCAAGCACTCAACCCACCGCCGCCGCCGCCGCTCGCCTTAGCCTGGTACTGGAAGTCACGTTGTGTCGCCGTCGCTGGGCCTGCCGCCTTGCAGCAGCCGTTGCTGGCAGAGGAGGCGGCACCTCAGGAAGCCGCTGCCGTCCAGGCAGTCACTGTCGCGGGGCAGGATGGACCGGCTGGCGTCCCGCATGCCACAGTAGCCGCGGCACCCGCCGCCGGCCCCAAACAGGAGCAGCAGGAGCAGCAGCAGGAGGATGAAGAGGGGGCAGAACAGCCCTCGACTAGCAGCCCGGTGCCACCTAGCAGCGAGCCCAGCCTGGCTGCAGTGTCCAGCACGGGCGCTGAACAACAACCAGCAGGAGATGGCGCTGTTCCCAGCAGCAGTGCAAGTGCGGCAATGGCCTCGCCCGCGGCAGCCGCACCGCCGGCAGCTCAGCCTGCCATTGGCACTAGCAATCCGCCTGAGCAGCCACGGGCGCAACTGCAGCAGCTGGAGCAGGCGGCTGCGGCACCGCAGGCAGATGGCCCGCCTGCCAGCTTTGACCCCGCTGATGTCCACCCTGCAGCCCTGGGCTCGCCCTTTGTGCCGCCCTTGCTGGCCCCGGCGCAGCTCGGCGGCGCCGACAACCTGGCAGCAGCAGCTTCGGTAGGCAACACGCTGCCGCCCACCATCCCTCTGTTCTCCTCGTTTGTCCCGCCACCAGCGTCGGGGGCTTCCGAGGCAGGAGCTGCAGCCCACGTGCAGCTGCCCCCAGCACCGGGCGCACCCGCTGCAGCGCCAGCGAGCCCCAGCAGCGATGGCGGCGTCAGCGGGGACGGCCCCGGCAGCAGCGGCAGCCAACCCCGCCACCGCCGCAGGCGCTCGCTCCTGTCGGAGGGCCAGCATGGATCGCAGCAGACGTCGGGGGAACTAGAGCAGGAGCAGCTTGATCAGGAGCAGGCGCTGCTAGAGGGGCAGCGCCAGCTGCGGGCCGATGTGGCGGCCCAGTCTGGCCCCGCTGAGTCTGCAGCTTCCTCGGTGCCAGCTGCAGGGTTCACGCCTGGCCGCCCCGAGTTGCGAGTGGAGCTGCCATATGAGGCTGAGTCCCTGGGGCAGCAGCAGCCTGCTGGTTTTGGGGACGCTGCGGGGCTTTACTCCCCGCAGCTCGGCCAGCAGCAGCAGCAGGAGCAGGAGCAGGAGCAGGAGCAGGCTGCCTTGTTCCAGTTCCAGACGCCGCCGCAGCACCAGGGCGCGCCGGGCAGCCGTAGCGTCACGCCGCTGGGCTTCCAGCAGCAGCAGCAGGCAGACGCCGAGGCGGCGGCAGCGGCGGCGGCCGCGGCGGCGGCCTGGGGCACGCAGCAGCAGCAGCAGCAGGCGGCGCCCGGCGGAACAATGCCAGACTCGGTGGCAGCCGCGCTGCAGCGAGCCGTGCACCTAGCAGCCTCTGGCACCGCCTACCCTGGCAGCAGCGCCGGAGGAGCAGGAGGGCCCCTGCCTGGCCCGCCACCCGGCGCCAGCTCCGCGGGCTTCCCAGGCGGCGTCAGCCTGCGCACCGCCCTCAGCGGCGGCACGTTCCGCAGCGGCAGCGGCCCGCTGAGCTACCCGGGCCAGGCCCCCGGCTTTGCCCACCTGCAGCAGCAGCCGCACGGGCACGGCTTCCAGGGCGGCGGCGGCGGCGGCGACAGCGCCTGGGGCGACCTGGGCGGCGGCTTCAGCATGCTGGCTGAGCGCAGCATGACGTCACGCAGCGACAGGCACCTTCCCAGGGTGCGCGCCCTTGCCCCACGCTCGCTCATCGCATGCCGTGCCTCTGCCCAACGGCTGTGGCCTGTGCAGATGCGGCGCCGGCCATGCCCCATGGCACACCCGCCTCTCACCTGCCTCTCCTCCCTCCCTCCTTGTGCCCTGCGCTGCCCCCCGCCCCCTACAGTTGTCTGAGGAGGTGGAGGGCATGCGCAGCAGCGTGGACGTGGATGTGCCTCTGGCCTGCAAGCTGGATGTGGTGGCGGGGCCGTGCACCAACCGCGGCTACACCAACACAGAGGATGTGCTGGAGGTGTGTGGGCGTGTGTCAGCGTGGGCGGCGACATGCACCACAGTCATCAATTGGTGTGCCCACCTCCTTTCACATGCAGCCTGCGCCTTTGTCTGCCCCCACATATCTCACACGTCCTGCCTCTCCCCCTCCACCTGGCCTGCCCGCGCAGATCATCATCGGGCGCAACCAGGGCACCAACATGCAGCTGAACGACGGCGAGATCTCGGGGCAGCACGCGGCGGTGCGGTGGAGCAGCGTGGACAAGTGCTGGAAGGTGCGGGGGCGTGGGGGTTGGAGAATGGCAGGGCGCGCGATGCTCTGCACCCTGCCGCACCCTGGCTATTGCCCCCAGGGCCCTGAGACCCATATGTTGAGCTGGCTCCCCTCGCCACCACCACCACCACCTCACCAACACCTTCTCACTCACACACACGCGCACGCCACACCACCCAACACCACGCACGCAGGTGGCCGACCTGGGCTCGCTCAACGGCACGCTGCTCAACGGCGAGCCGATCAGCGTGGCGGGGCGCAAGCGCGGGCGTGACTACCGCCTGTCCACAGACGACATCCTGCAGGTGGGCATGGCGTGCGCTGGAAGCCTGCCCCTGCCGCCACTCGGCCGCGCCAGCCTGCCCTGCTGCCGTTCGCTCCGTTCACGCCGCTCGCTGCTGCCAACCCTGCATGCCCTGCCGCGCCGCCCCACCGTTGTCGGCCCTGCAGCTGGGCAGCTTCACCAAGATCAAGGTGTCCACCTTCCCGCGGGACCTGCTGGATCCCATGCAGTCCCGCTGCGGCAGCCTGCCGGGTGAGGCGCGCCTGCGGTACCAGCAGGCGGGCTCCTGGCGTGCCCCCCTGAGAAGCATGCTGCCTGGGCGACGCTCCCCGGCCCGCTGCCTCCGAGAGGGAGTAAGCATGCCGCAACCCCCTGCTGCTACCCTCTGGTCTCCGCTCCTCCTCACGCCGCTCCCCTGCTCCTGCCCTGCAGTCGGCTCCATGCCCAAGAGCCTCACCATGCCCAAGCACAGGATCCCCAGCTTCTCCTCCCTGCTCTCGCCCAAGGTGTGTGTCAGCCTTGGGCAGCCGCCGGCAGCAGGCCGCTAGCAGCCAGTGAGCAGCTTGTCAGGGTGGGAGACGGTACTGTGCCAAACTGCACCCACACACTGGCGGTATGCTGCTGACGCTACACAATCAACCCACCGGCCTGCCCCTGCTGCCCTCTCCTGCTGCCCTCTCCACAGATCACCAACACCCCCAGTAAGAAGGCGACGGTGGCGGCTGCCAGCGACGAGCTCCGCCTCGAGTGCTGCATCATCAGCCGCACGGGGCGCGACCACCAGCGCAAGGGGCAGACCTGCGAGGTGGGCGCACGCAGGGGCGCGCCAGCCGCTGTGGCGGCTGCCATTTGTCGCCGCGTGCCCTGCCCGGCCTGGCCGGCATCCCTTCCAACATACGACACCCCCGGCCCTCCTATGCAGGATGTGGCTTGCGCCGAGTGCCCGCTGCACGGCTGCGAGGCCGCCCTGGGATCCGCGCACCCTGCCGCGCTCTTTTGTGTGTTTGACGGCCACTGCGGGCGCGGCGCCGCCGACGCCGCCAGCGTGGCGCTGCCGGACGAGGTTGCCACACACCTGGAGGGTGGGTGCAGCCCCCTGCTTCTTGACTGCCTCGTCGCCTACCCCAGCTTGGCAGTTCTAGGATGCATGCCGCCACCATGCCTGGCCCTGAGTGGACGTCTGGCGTCTGGGCACATTGCACCGTGCCGGCAGCGCCCGCCTCCTCAGCCGCGACTCCAGCCCAGCCCACCCTGCCGGCCGCCCTTGCGCATGGCATGCGCCCCGCGCCTTGCAGGCGTGCGCCACGAGCTGCTGGCGGCCGCCGGGGCGGCGGAGATGCTGCGCCGCGCCTTCCTGGCCACCGACGAGGCGATCAGCGCGGAGGAGGGGTGCACGGCCACCGCGGTGCTCATGTGGCGCGACGGCGAGGGCGCGGTGTGCCTGCAGGTGCGGCCGCCCGCCCGCGTCCTGGACCCTGGCGCTGCCAGCCTCCCTTGCCCACCTCGATCCCTCCCCCCCGCCCCCCAAGCACACACGCACACTCACACATACACACACACACCTGCCATGCACCCCGCCCCCTGCCCTGCCCCAGGCCGCCAACGTGGGCGACTCTGCCGCGCTCTTCATCGACCCCGACACCCAGCACGCCACCGAGCTGACGGAGGACCACCGGCTGACCAACCCGCGCGAGCGGCAGCGCCTGCAGGACATGGGGATCCAGGTGGGGGGCTGCGGGCATGTGCTGTGTGTATGCGCCCTGTGTGTGTGTGTGCGCGCGCGCGCGCGCGCGAGCGATGGTGGTTGTGGTGGGGTGGTTGGCGTGGATTCAGGGGCCAGGCTCCAGCGGGGATGGCGGCTGTACTCGCCCCGCTCCCGGCCTCGTCACATGGCCCGCTGCGTCCCCCCCCCACTCACTCGTGTGCAGCTGGCCAGCAACGCGCGGCGCCTGTACGGGCTCAACCTGTGCCGGGGCCTGGGCGACAAGTTCCTGAAAGACGAGGACCTGGGTGAGGCGGGCAGGGCGGTGGGGTGCGCGGCTGGTAGGCGGTGGTTAGATCTGGCTGGTTGGTGGTTAGATCTGGCAGAGCGGCGCGGCTGGTGGCTGGTGGCTGGTGGTTGGGGGGAGGCTGCGTGCGTGTTTGCATTGCATTTTGTGTGCATGCCATGCCAGCGCTAGGGTGAGTTGCAGATGGATGGTTGAGGCGTGGCACCTGCACGTATCGTCCTTGTAGTTTCCAACGGTACCGCCTGTTCACCGTGCCTGCGCCCCGCCTGCCCCCCCGCCAGGCCTGTCGGCGGAGCCCCACGTCAGCCCCGTGGTGCGCCTGTCGGAGCAGCAGGGCGGCATCCTGCTGATCGCGTCAGACGGGCTGTGGGATGTGGCGGATGCAGAGGCCGTCACACAGGCCATCTGCCAGGCAGACAGGTGGGGGCGCGTGCCGCAGGGCATGGGGCACATGCCTGGGGATGGGAAGTGGCCGAGGAGCCAGCACAGCTGTGCTGCCATGCCATGCATGGCCTGGCCAAGGCTCCGACCAAGGTCCCCCCCTGCCTCGCTCGTCCCTATGTTCGTTCTCCTGCATCTTCATGCCTGGCTGCAGGGAGAAGGATGGCAATGTGCTGGAGACCACCAACGCAGTCATCGCGCACGCCCTGAAGCAGCGCACCAAGGACGATGTGACGGGTGGGTGGCCCGCCTCCGTCGCCGCTGCCGCGTGTCGCACCTGTGCCAGGCGCCAGCAGTTGCGATGCTGGCCTCGGCAGGGAGACGAGATGGGCAAGCAGGCCAGGGTCCAATACTTGCGACCAGCGCTGCTCACCTGCTCGCCGCCTCTGGCCCCTGGCATGCTTGGCGTGCAGCGCTGGTGGTGCGCGTGTGGCCGGCTAGCGAGTGGGAGCTGCGCTCCCCCACCAAGAACCTTGACGATGGCGAGGCGGCGGCGTTTGTGAGCTAACACAGCACCCAGCCCAGCCACCTGGCGGCAGCAGCGGCACTGCGGCACAGGTGCTGCGTGCGACCCCCACTCCTGCCTGCATTTTTTCGCAACGCCCCCTTCCTTTCCGTGTACACCGATTGCCCTGCCTCTTGTATTTTTCAGATTTTTGCTAGAGCCCTGATGCACAGCTCTGGGACTTGGTGCCAACCGCACGCCCCTTGCAGTATTTGCCCTGCCCCAATGCTCAACCAAGGCACTTGCCAGTGCAATTTGGCATTGGCGAGTGGAGCTCTCTCATCTCGGGCATTGTGCATGCCACACAGAATACATCATGCAAGCATGCTGCACCACCCTCTCCACTGCTAGACTCCCTCATGCAGCACCACCGCAGCCTTGGTGCTGCCGTCAAAGCGTAAACGCATGTAAACGATTCACACACACAGCGGCACACAGGCCTTCATGCAAGCTTCAGAGCTGTGAGGCGGCGGCCTGTGTCTGCAAGAAACACATTGTAGGGGCAGCCAGGCAGGGCAGTGGAGCAAGCCCAGTTGATTTTGCGGCTGTGCTGGTGCTCGGCTGCCAGCAGCGGCACACTGGCGCTGCCGCTGGGCTCATCAGTCGCCGCCGCCTGCTGTGCGCATTGCGACTGCTGCTGCTGCAGATTGCCGCCCTGCCGCAAGCTGCTGTCTCCGCCTCCTCCCACTTCTGCCGCTTCTGCTGCTGCCTCTGCTGCCACCTGCGCTCCCTCCTGGGCAGCCCCCCAGTTCCACAGCAGCAGGCGGCAGTCGTTGCCTGCCGACAGCAGCTGCTGCCAGCCAGATCCTTGGAGGAAAGACACGCTGTTGACCGCTGCGCTATGCCCGCCCTGCTCCCTTCCCAGCAGCGCCAGCCGGCCGGGCACGACCCCTGGTGCTGCCACAGCCGCCGCCTTCTGCCCGCCCTTCTTGCCGCCCTTCTTGCCACCGCCGCCACTGCCGCTGCTGCCCCTTGCTGCTGGCGCCGCCTTCAAGTCGGCATCATACATCGAGATGCAGCCGTCGCCGCGGCCCACCGCCACGAGCTTGCACAGCCCCCGCTCGTCTGTCTGCGGCACCGCGAGGCTGTGCACCATGGGAGGGTTGAACAGCTGGCCTGCGGGGCCGGCAGGGCAGCGTGTGGCGGGATGGGGAACCGAGCAGCCATAGGGTGGTGGCGCTGCTGGGCACACTTGGCATGCGATTGGGGTTCCGCCTGAGCAGCCCACGGTCATTTGTGCAGCTCCCGCGCTTCGGGCTGCCACCCACCTCCACTGGCCGTTGCCTCGCCGTTCAGGCTCCAGGTGTGCAGCGGGCGCAGCCGGCTGAAGTCCCACCGAACAACCGCCGCATCCAGCCCGCCCGACAGCACCTCCCAGGGGCGGTGCGGCCGGAAGGCCACAGCGCTGCAGATGTTGATGTGGCCGCGGCGCAGGGTCTTGTAGGACGCAGGGCAGGTGAGGCTTGCCGCTGCCGACGCTGCTGCTGCTGCCGCCGACGCTGCTGCTGCTGCACTAGGGGGTGCTACCTGCTGCTGCTGCTGCTGCTGCTGCTGCAGGCTGATGACTTGCACCTCTCCAGAGTCGTCCCCTGCTGCCAGCCAGCAGCCGTTGGCGGCGGTCACCGCCACGCTGTTCACCTCATCCTGGCTCACCCCAAAGCTGCGGCATAGTGCGGAGGCATCCAGACCGCGGCGCAAGTCTAAATGCAACACTGCGGAGCCCGCCGCCGCAAACAGGCTGTGCTCCTCGCCGGCACCCGGGTGCCAGCACACTGATGGCACCGCGTCGCCCGCCGCCTGCTCTATCCGCCCCGCCGGCTTGAGCGTGGACAGATCGGTGAGGCAGATGGCGCCATCCTGTGCATGGCAAGAGAGAAGGGGACATGGGAGGCGGGCTGAGGGCAGGGTGCAGGCCGGGCCGCCGCATGCGAATGGCCACCGCCGCCGCCAGCGCGCGGCGCCGCCAGACAGCTCGGGCACTGCAGCCTGGCAGCCTGCAGCGCATGTCGCTGCACTGCTGGCCTGCCCACGCACCTCCCCGCCACTGGCCAGCAGCTTGCCGCCCGGCTGCACCTCGCAGCAAAGAACAGAGTCGGTGTGGCCTGCTACCAGGGCCAGAGCTACCATGCTGCTGCGGATTGATCGTCCAGCGATCCAAACAGTTCAGGAACATGCACATGGAGGGCCGCTGCTGCGAGAAGCAGCATTGCCCCCAGGCCGAGTGGCTACTGCACTCGTCACTTCAATTTCCATTTTCCATAGGACTGCATCACGTCTGTCTTTTGTGATTGAGAGCTTACTCTCCACAGGGCATGCGCTTTCGCCCATCTCCGAGATGCCGCTTACTCGTGAGGCTGAGGCCTGGGCTCTAGTGTAGCCCACCAGCGCCGCTATAGAGCGAAGATGTCAATAGAGGTGCGGGCCAGTGGCGGGCGGCAGCAGCAGGCGGCGCCCGGCAGCGACGGCAGGAAGTGGCGCCCGGCGGCGACGGCGGAGGCCGCATTGCCACCGTCCTTTGTGTGCTTCCATGCGCATGCAGTAGCCCTGCCCTGGCCAGCTCCGCCGCCATGGATTTGGTGAAGGACCCGCAGGTTCCTGCTCACCTGGCAGCCAAGTATGAGGCTCGAGCTGACCATTACTGGGACCTCTTCTACCGTCGAAATCAGGACCGGTTCTTCAAGGACCGCCACTACTTTGAGGCAGAGTTCCCGCAGCTGCTGGCCGCGCGCACGGTGCTGGAGGTGCGGGGCCAAGGTGGCAGCTGCTGCGGGTCTGTTGTCAGTCTGCACACGATCATGCCAATGCGCCTGGCACATAAACCACTCCCTGGCTCCCCCCGCTGCACAGGTGGGCTGCGGCGCGGGCAACACAGTGTTCCCGCTGCTGGAGCTCAATCCAGGAGCATCCATCTACGCCTGCGACTTTGCGCCCTCGGCGGTGGGCCTGGTGCGGGCCCACCCGGCATATGCCACCACCGCCGGCAGGGTCCACGCCTTTGTGGCCGACATCACAGGTGGGTGGCAGGCCTGGCTGGCCACCTGGCCTATCCTGAAGGATGCGCTGCGGGCCGCGGCGTCCCAGCGGAAGCAACAGGTGGATGGCTGGATGGCAGCCCACACCGCTGTCGCGCCTCGCTGCCTGCAGCCGATGACCTGACGGTCCATGTGCCGCCGGGCTGCGTGGATGCTTGCACGATGGTTTTTGTGCTGTCGGCCATCGCGCCAGAGGCCATGCCGCGCGTGCTGCGCCGCGTGGCACGCACGCTGCGCCCCGGCGCCCAGCTGCTGTTCAGGTGGGCCCGGCGTTGTATCTGTGTGTGCGTGTGTATGCACACGCAACAGACAGCCGCCAGCCACCGAAGTGTGTGTCTTGCAAAATTTGCACCAGCAGCCCCAAGCTGCAGCAAAGCTTACCCTGTGCTGCGGTTGGCATGCTCGTTGTCCCTCTGCTGCAGGGACTATGCGGCGGGTGACCTGGCCGAGGAGCGGCTAAGCAGCCAGGGGCGCCAGCAGCAGCTGGGCCCCAATTTCTACGTGCGCTGGGACGGCACCCGCGCTTTCTACTTCACTGAGGTCTGTGGCTGGCTGGGTGCATGCTGAGGGCCATGCGCTTGTTGCCCGCTGTGGCCGTGCACGTACGTTGCACAAGCAGGAGTAGGCCACAGCCTGCCTCGCATCATCAACGTGAAAAGTACCAAGACACCGGTGGCGGCGTGCGCTGCACTGCGCCATGCAGGGCTTCCTGCGGCGGCTGTTTGAGGGCGAGGGCTTCTGCTGCCAGTATGTGCGGGTGGATGAGCGCGTGCAGGAGAACCGGGCGCGCGGCGCGCGCATGGACCGCCGGTTTGTGCAGGCGGTGTTCACGTTTAGCGGCGGCGGCGGCAGCGATTGTGGCACCAGCGGCAGCATTACTGTCGGCGGAGGAAGTGAGAGGCAACCAGACTCCAGCACCACAGAGGGCGGCAGAGACTGGGCGCCATCGCAGACGCCGCCGCCGCAGCAGCGCGAGGAGGGCGAGCCGGAGCTGGAGGAGGTTCGGCTGCGCCTGGGCGCTGGCAGCCCCGGTCCGCAGCTGCAGCTGCAGGTGCTGTGCCCCCCCACGCTGCAGCAGGGCGCGGCTACTGCAGCAGCGGCGGCAGACAAAGCCGCGGCGGAGGCCCTTGCGACGCTGGTGCTCTCCTGCCCCGCCTTGTTTCATGGAACCAACGTGCTGGAGATGTGCAGCTGGCATGCGCCGCTGGCAGCCCTGGCGGCGCTGCGCTGGTGCCGCCACGCCGTGGCAGCCGGCGGCAGCGAGGCGGCGGTGCAGCTGCTGAGGCGCAACGCCCGCCGAAACGGCCACCTCTTCGTGATTGAGCGGCTGCGCCTGCAGCTGCTGACGTGGCGGGGGCCATGGCACCAGCATGGGGAGGCGGAGGGTGGAGAGGACCAGCAGCGGCAGCGGCAGTACCAGCAGGAGCAGCTGCTGCGCGCCTTCCCAGCCGGCTTTGATGCTGTGGTAGCAGCGGCGCCAGCCGATGCAAGCGCCGCCGACCTCCACCGCCTGCTCAGCACGGCAGCGGCGCTCATGTGCCGACGGCAACGCTCCCCAACCCTGCTGTGCGTGGCAGCACAGCCGGCTATGCAGCAGGCCGTGGTAGAGGCGGCAGCGGGTGTAGGTCTGGGAGAGGCCCCCACCTTGGCGCCAGAGGTGGTGGCGGCGGCGGCAGCGGCACTCCCGTTGCACATCGTCTTCCTGCAGGTCCTGTACCCCTGCGCCTGAACTTAACCTACGCTGCAAGTGCCAGATATTTGTAAACATGCAGAAATGGGGTCGGTTTGGGGGCAACAAAAAGCGGAGGCCGCCAACGTGGCGGCGTGCCCCAAACGAGGCCCGAGGTCCACGGACCTGGATTCGCCTTTGGCGACCATACAGAGCGATCGTAAGTTGTAGAGTGTAGCAGAGAGGCCGCATTCACGACATGCCTGGGCTGAACCACCTAATGGGTGCCAGTGTCGTGGCGTGCGGCACTCTATAGGAGTCCAGGTGGGTCTGCACTGGTGAACGCCAAGTGCATCGCGCGGCATGGCACGGGGGAACATCCCAGCCCGGCCCATTGTGCGGTGCGAGTTCGAAACCCTGGGGGGCCGGCGCCACGCTTACACACGTGGGAGGCTGCCAATGCAGGCCGCACAGGGACCCGGCATGGCTGTGTGGCGGCGGCGGCACCATGCGCCCCCAGCACTGGCGGCAGCGGCGGCAGCCATTCTGCTGGCAGCGCTCCTGCCGCAGGCAGTAGCCCAGGCGTGCAACGCCACCACCCACATCGTGGCATCCTCCCCAGATTTCTGCACAGAGTTCTGTACTGAGCAGTCGCCAGAGGGAACGGTTGCCAACCCGCTAACGTACATCGGTGAGCGAGCGGGTAGAACCTGGTGTAGCTTGGAGCCAGCCAATCGGTGCAGCGGCGCCGTTTCCCCTGTTGCTCAGCTTGCGCCGCACGCCTCCCCTTCCCTGCCTACCAGGCCCCGTTGGGCAGCTCTGCTGCGACTGCCGGTTCGGGCCGGCACCCTCGCCGCCGCCCGTGCCGGCCCCAACGCCGCCGCGCCCACCGCGGCCCCCGCCGCGGCCGCCGAGCCCACCGGCGGCCGCCAGCCCTCCGGTGTTTCCCCCACCGCAGCCCCCGCGGCCGCCATGGCCGCCCCCGCGGCCGGTGTGCGGCAGGACGGAGCACTGGATAGTGGCGAGCGCCGAGCAGTGCGCAGCAGACTGCGAAGCGGCGGCCGCGGGCAAGGGGGTGGGCACCACAGTGGACCCCAAAACATATGCAGGTGCGGGGCTGGCCTGGGTGGGGAGGTGGCTGGGAGGCTGGTGCCTCCTGGCTGCGTCTGGTCGTTGATTGCTTTTTGTGACAGCAGCAGCAGCAGCAAAGGCGGTGGGAGGTGGATGGCGGCTGCAACCATTGCACTGCGGGCCCCCTTGCTGCCAGCCCACCGTGCTGGCCTGCCCCTGTTGGTCGAACTTGCCTGCCTCCCCGTCTGCCGCGCCCGGCCGTCCGCCTGCCTGCAGCCACCACCGCGGGCCTGACCGGCGGGGACGGCGGCGGCGACGGTGGCGGCGCCATCCTGTGCTGCGTGTGCAACTTTGTGCTGCCGTCGCCGCCGCCGCCGCCGCCACCGCCGCCGCCGCCCTGCCAGGACCCCGACTTTGTGGTCGCCGCCGAGGACCGGTGCCCCCTGCGGTGCGCCTCTCTGCTAGAGGAGCGCCCCGGCTTCACCGTCACGCCCGAGACGTACCCAGGTGTGCGATGCGGCTGGGTGGCCTCTGTGGGGTGGGGCGGTGCGGTGAGAAGCAATGCTGGGACTGTGGGGCGGGAATGCTGGGCGACAGTCGGTGGTGGATGGTGGTAGCGCAGGTGCGGCTGGTGGTAGTGCAGGGCAGCTGCGGGTGCAGCGTCTTTGACAGCAGGTTGCCTGCTGAACAAGCCTGGCGGCGCTGTGTGGTGCAGGCTGGAACGACACCAAGCTGTGCTGCAAGTGCACGTTTGTGCCCATCCCGCCTCCGCCGCCCGCGCCGC